CTATTTTTATATACACAAACGTGGACAGGATCATTGCCTGAGATGTCTGTGTTTTTGTCCTAAAGTTCAAAGAGTAACATTACTCTGAATTGCTCGATCTCAATTCACTTTGACTTTTGATGTCTGACCTTGACAGTTTGTCATACTCTATGTTAAGGTTGTTGTGACCTTGACTGAACTTTGACCTCCAGTATGTTCAGACTTTAAGAACAACAGTGAATTGGGACCGCTTCAAATCATTAAGCTCCTTGCTATAGAAATTCACTGTGAATTTTCCGACTGTGGGTGTTTAATGAATACGCATGTATAAAATGGGCTGATCGAGTTGATGAACGGGTTTCTTGAATGCTTATATGTACGTACAGGTATTTATCTTTAGATTGTCATCAATAAACTACAGTGTTTGTTAATAAACATCAATATGTATAGATATGCATTTTTTTGTTTTTCTCCTGTTGGGATTCCAGTTTAGTTAGGTCCACAGCAACCTATGCAGGTTGTAAGAGGTGAGGGGCAGGCTCGTCAGGTGGTTGATTGCATGTCATCACACCCAGATGACTTGGATTGTTGTTGACAATATCAGTCACTGGATTGTTTGGTCCAGACTCAATTATTTACAGGCCACTACTTTAGCTGGAATATTGATGAGTGGCAGAGTTTAAATCGTCTGTTTTACAGTATTTAATTTTGGTCATATGTGATTATAGGTATCTTCCAAAGTAATAAATATGCTATGTTGGGGGCGGTCGGGTAGCCTAGTGGTTAAAGCGTTGGATCGTCACGCCGAAGACCCGGGTTCGATTCCGACATGGGTACAATGTGTGAAACCCATTTCTGGTGTCCCCCACCGTGATATTGCTGGAATATTGCTAAAAGCGGCGTAAAACCATACTCACTCACTCACCCACTGCTATGTTGACTTTACTTGCCTTGAAGACAAATGGCCGTGAAGACAATTAAAATATATGTATTAATAACTATCAACATTTTCTTCCCATCGACAAATCCTGCAATATTTTGTTGGTTGATAGTTCAGGTCACAAAGTTCTACAGTGTAAACATAAGGCAGGCAGTATAATGTATTATCACCCTAAACCGAACTGTGTACTAGCCTGATAACCCCACCTGTAGCACATATCTGAAGCCGACATGAATGTGATAAACAACATGGAGATAGTATGGTTATTGTCCACCTGTCAAGCACAGATAGCAGTATTCATCAGTTCAGACACAAATCTGGGATGTGTGTGTGTGTGTGTGTTGTGTGTAGTGTGTAGTGTGGATTCAGTATCGTGTACCCTATAAATCACGCCTTGTACACACGACGCCGTAGGGAGTCGGGTAATATACAACTTGAAAAAAGGTGAAGCACCCCCAGAATTTTTCCAAAGACTAACGAAGCAAGTGCTGGAATGAAATAACTGACAAAATGAGGTCGGATAAACGAGTGTGATCTGTAAGAACAACCCCTTGACAATAGGAAAGAACCATTGTTAACTAAGGATTAGCATTTAGTCACGATATTGTAGCACAACCACTGCTGATGTTTTTATCCCCAAGAAATATCCTTTTTTAGGCACGGAAATGCAGAGTTTTTACGACGATTTCGAGTGCTATTCCTGGATAAAAATGTCACTTCGAGTCCCTAGATCAGATGACATTCGTGTCTGGATGACGGCCTCCACCCTGCGTCTTATCCCTTCCGTCAGACGTCGGATCTGCCAAAGGGGCAACGGCAGCCACTCACGATTGAAGGCAGCTTCCAAATTAACGCATGTTCTGTACAAGAGGCTCCAGTGACGCCCAAATATGTCCCAACTGTTCTCCAGCAGATTCAGATCTGGCCTTATTGAGCCAGGGCTGAGTCGTTACAGCGATGTTCTTGGGGTAAACTGTCACTGCCTGGGAACGATGAGGGACTGGTGTTATCAGCCATGAACTTGTGGCGAGGGGGCAACAACTGGTTCCTGGACATCTCGGAAGTGCTGATTACCTGTGACCTCGAGGTTGCTTTGTGTGGTGACCAGGGCCAGCATGACATCCCGAAACAATAGCATGACATCACTAAACAATAGCATGACATCACTAAACAATAGCGTGACATCACGAAACAATAGCATGACATCACTAAACAATAGCATGACATCACGAAACAATAGCATGACATCACGAAACAATAACATGACATCACTAAACAATAGCATGACATCACGAAACAATGTAGTTAAACAACAAACAAACAACTTGCCTGGTTATGACATTGCTACAGTAGAGCAGATGAAACTCCCGTTTCTCCCCCATCAAATAGTCAACACAATGCCTCTTCAAAACAAAGTTTGACAATCTGGTTTACTTTTACAAAATATGGGTACCCAAATTATGTATAAGAAACATTTAAACCCGATTTCACTCTTGGACACTAATCTATCCATGCCCCGGGTTTTATATGTGACTATGTGGGTCGCCACCGCAATCGATCGATGTCGCTCAGGTCTTCATTAAGACTGAGGTTAATCGCTGACTCAAAGATAACTCGTGTGCTCAGGACATTCTCAAGAACCTTTTTTTACCATGTAAGGAATAGTAAGATCCCGCACTACTTCCACCCAGCGGTTAAGCGCACATTGTAGCGATTGGGTGCAGGGTCTATACCAAACGCCCACTCAATTTGTTAACCTATTCCAGTGGAGACAGGGTGTTGTATACAGATACTCGTTTCATCACAGAGTATTCTCGCAGTTTCCAGAAGCTACATACAACATAATTGATGCACGTGTTCGTCTGTGGTTTGTTCAAGTCAGATTCCCGGAAGTTCAGTTATACATATAGACGGTAATATCACACACCATACAGCACATTACAAGCTGACATCGCAGTGCGGGTTCACGCACACACTATCGCCTAGCTAGCAGTTATGTAGATGATATTTGATATCATCCCAGAGCGTCGCCTACTCCGATATGTGAGTATATTGTACTGGATTATTTATATAAATTGTCGGGCAAAAGAACACATACATCCGTGTTTGAATGTGGCTAAAAATTAAACAAACAAGAAATGGTTATTCGATGGTGATTTATTTTATACGGGTATCATAGGCGGTATCCCATGCATGTCAATTAGTATCTTACAACAGGTCAGCATGGCAACGTTTTGATAACGTTTGCAAGGATATCTATCTATCTATCTATCTATCTATCTATCTATCTATCTATCTATCTATCTCTGTCTGTCTGTCTGTCTGTCTGTCTGTCTGTCTGTCGAGAGCTCGGTATAGTTCATAATCAAACACAATATATGTGGTGTAATTACTAATGTATATGTATTTTTTTGTAATGTAATCGCTTATATATATATCATTATTCTGGTAGGTTATGATAGTGTATATACACCAGTGGTTGATGGTAGAGCGATCGGTTGGTCATATATAAAGCTTAGCCGAGATTGGGGAAATATTTATTTAACTAATACCGGTGTTGTCATAACACACCTAGCGGTTAAACGCGACACGCACACGACCCTTACTTCGCGGATTGCCTTACTTGGTAGTTAAACTGCACAGCGGCCATTAAGTGGGTTAAGTATATGTATATAGGTCGCGCGTGATGAAATACCGAGATTCCGTTGACAAAAGATTTTCACCTTTCGTCACAACTGTGTCGATCACATAGATGATTGTTTCGAACCAATTTTCAAATGAATTCAACACAAATAGTTAAATTAAGTTTATAGATGTAATCAAGCCGACTACGAGTGTTTCTCCCCTCGGCTGACTGTTATCAGTCATATCTCTTCAGCTTGTCACATTGTCTCTTGGAATGCCGCACCTGTCCAGCGCTGGTTTTTGGTAGGGGAGTAGGAATAGATGTTCGAGACAGATTAAGATCATGAACAACTAAAGACATCTTGCGTCTTATATCTTCCTAAATAGTCCTTTTGGAACACGGCAACCCACATAGATACGTGTATAAATCACTATATACCATCTTCATAAGAGAAATACACATTTGGTTTTATAAGTGACAATGTTATATTTGTTTTATATTGAGTATTAAATATGCCATTCATATTTTGTTGTTATTCATTCTCATATTCATCAAACTTTCATCTCCGTGGTAGCTAAATCCCAGAACGGGACCAGCAGTTGACATTATTGAGGAGTGACGGGGCTAATTGACACATTTAAACATGGGGCCTCCCGGTTCATGATATATCTGATAACACCAGCTGGCTGCAGGTGTTGGGCCGTGGTCGGCCTTAACTTGCGAAAAAATGATATTTTTAATGCAAATTCCAGTGTCACATGTTCAATTGTCATACGTCGACCAATATCTAAAATATATCTACAAAAAGATTTTCCTATTTATTATTAAAAAGTTATTGATTCATCATTGTGAATATCAAAGGTATATAAGTGCAGTGACGTGAGTTGAATGTTCTGCACCCTGGATGACATGGATTGGCATGTCAAGCCTGACTGGCTTTGTAAGGCCTGTCTACGCCTTGCTTGTGTATGGGTATATAGCCTATAAAGCATTGTCAACATGTATAGATTTGGGGTTGGCCGAACGCCATCACATTTGGCGTTCGTGTTCATATATCACTGTGTTTGTCAAAAGTCAAGGCCATCCACCTTCCTTAAAATAATGATGAAATATACCGACATCTGCATTTATACTGATTTTGAAATACTTTTTATACCAGGAATATGCGACAATAAACGCAGAAATGTGAAACCCCACTTCAGGCGTATGTGCGTATTCCGATACAATGTTTCACAGATATTAAACGGTAATGTTTCCACCAAAAAACATGTGTGCTAAAGTAGCCTAGATCTAGATCGTATTCAGGAAATCAGGTTTTCAGGCTGAGGACCGGAACCTAAACAAACGCTGAAACACAACACCGGGAATGATGGGATATCAAGTGATGTCATTTTTCGGGTTATTAATAGTGGAACATGTCCAAACCTCGCGCTCTGATTGGCTGTGCCATATGTAAGTTTCTAAATTTAGACGTGGTATTGCACCATAAGACAGCAAGCCGGTTGAGAAGTTCCATAGTAGATTGAATGTGAGCAAAGAGGTGGGACAGAGACCGAGAGGACTGAAGGTATGCTTAAAAAAAGAATAAATAAGTGTTTTTACACCCGTAATGTTATTAACAGTAAATTTTACACAATTATTTTATAAAATAACGTAATGTCATGTGTTTTTAACTCCTCAGAGCGCCACAGAAGGCAGCCACGCGCAGGTTATCCATCCTGGAAAGCGGTTTATTCTCCGACACATCAACGACGTCAACCAACGACTTCACCAAACTGGACACGTTTCTAAAGTCGGCTGACACCATTTCAACGATGCAGGGAGAGGAAAGTTCGGTGTTTGTCCCTACCGGCTCAGAGTTTGTACCCGAGACGCTGGATGAGTTAGTGGACTGGCTGGATCTCACAAACGATTCAACCGGGAAAGCTAGCGAAATCCAGCATTTCCGTACGTTCGGTACAGAAGACAAGTGGCCTATTTAACGATGGTGAGAGTCTGATTTAAGTTTGTCAAAATGTTAAACGTTAAAATTGCTTGTTTAAGGATCATTTCAGTGAAAAATGTCAGAATCAACTGTAAACTGAAGTATAAGAGTTTATGTAGTGTGGGTGGAAACACGGGTCCATTACGATCACGTCGTTCGGTTATATCGATTAGGGTAAATAAACATGGTAGATATGGTACATCGACCCGAGATAGCCTTGGCCGGTTAACCGCTGTCACGTGACAGGGGTGTTGTTGCTGTCACTAAGCGATCACGTGATAACAACGTATGTTTCCAAAAATAGCACTGCTTGCCGGGTCAGCAAAGTTTGTGCCTCTAATTTCCCAGAATTTCGTCATACCTAAGTTAGTGGTGCAATAGCTGTTAATATATAGTCGCGGGCAAATCAAAAACTTACAAACCCTTCGAATGTCTAACGAAGATAGTGTTAGTGGAGAGTAGGCCTCTTGAGATGAAATTTTACACTTACTTTGCCTCCACTTACTCTACAACATTTCACAACAAATGTGGACTGGTGCGTTTTTAAAACATTTGTACCAACGGGAATTAGGTTAAACAAGATATCCTCAAATTATATTTACCTGTATTGGTTTCTTAATTTATTTTAAATTATTTTTGTTTTCACTTTGAAAAATTGTTTATTATTTGAAAGATGTAGACTGAATTATTCTACATGAAGCATTTTGTGATTTGTTTCTGTGAGAACAATGCTTATTCTGTCTTGTGTTTCTACAATATTCTATACTTGTCTTGATGCTTGAGGTTAACCTCCCAGTAGGTATCATGTGAGTGGAACTCTATATGGTTGGTTGTTCTCTTCAGGGCCAGCTGATGACTTGAAGTACAACTTGAAGCCGTCAGCGGATGACCTATTGATGTCGATCGACAATGGTAACGATGCATTGATGCTGGGCAGCTTTGACTCAGGGATGCTAAGTTATCTCGATCCACTGGCAGAAGCCAGTCTTGATAGTTTTGTGGATCTTTCTACCTTCCTTGAAGAGGTAAGTTTCACTGGTGTTCGTAGAATAACATGTTTTGTTTTGGAATGAAGATTTGAATTACTTTTCAAATTTGTTGACCTTAGTTGTTCATATTTAATTCAGAGTTCTTCGAAATCACTTTTTTTTTATTATTTACTTTTTGCTTTATTGAGAATATTTTCAATAATCGGAAGCATTTGAAGCCTTGGTTTTATGGAAAATTGATGTGGACAATTTGACTTTTCAGGGTAAAACTGTTGAGCCAGTAGATGGAGCTGCAGTAGATATTGACGCTCTAATGGAAAAGACAAAACCTGTTGAGGTTGCTGTGGAAACTGCAGAGCCATCTATGAAGGGCAATTTTGAAGAGGTTGAGGAAGTAGTAGATGTAGTCGACATGGAGGAAGAGGTTGTGGCTACAACCCCCGACCATGACTATGTCTGCAAGCGACCTCGGCTGTCTACTTCATCCAATGCAAGTGAGGAAGGGGGACACACCTACGCTGCTGCGTCGACAAGTCCCGTTCCACTTGTACGGAAGTATCGTGAACGTCGCGACAAGAACAATGTTGCTTCACGCAGATCGCGTGAAATCCGGAAAAGGAAATTTGTTGACATGGAAAGCCAAGCTGATGAACTTGTTGTTGAGAACGAGAAACTCCAATTGAAGATTGTGGAGTTGGAAAAATTAGCGAAAGAGATGAAAACCATTCTTGTTTCCAAGTTGTCAGGAAAGTAAACATTGTCTTGAAGCTTTGTGCACGATGCTTGTAATGTCATGATGTCATTTGACAGCTGGATGCACAACTGACGTTGTTGCAGCTCATTCATATAGAACATTGTTTATTTATCATTGAATGCGGAAACAAAAGTGTTTCAATGTAGGATTTGTTGCTTGTTGAAGTTATTTGAAATCCATACTACTAAAGGAAATTGCCACTGCGTCTGTATGGGCAGTTTGCAGTGGTAGGCTGATCGGGACAACACTGGTCTGAATTAAATCTTACACAAATTTACACAATGTACCAATTCAGATTTGAATATTTAAGCATTTTAAAATGATATTAATTGACATTTAAAGAAATGTAGTTAAAAATATGATTGTTTCAAATTAAGAGTTTGTCTTTAAATTCAAAAGCAAATCAGTCAGTAAATAACATTTGATGGAAATTGAACAATATAATATGTTTGGAACTTTACATGATTTTTGTAAGAAATTTAGATATAAATTTTAAGAGTCTTTTTAGACCAGGAGTTATGAAATGAATTGAAGGTTACATTTGAGGGGATATTCCTTTAGTATTACTGGATTTCTATCATGATAGACTGAATCGCCATTGACTGAACATATGTTAAATAAAGTCATGTTGCTTGGATGTTGGAATTGAAATAAGAATGTACACCCCTTAATCTCTTCATAAGACTTTATGTTGATGGGGTGTCATTGAAGGAAAATGTACACCCCTTAATCTCTTCATAAGACTTTATGTTGATGGGGTGTCATTGAAGGAAAATGTACACCCCTTAATCTCTTCATAAGACTTTATGTTGATGGGGTGTCATTGAAGGAAAATGTACACCCCTTAATCTCTTCATAAGACTTTATGTTGTTGGGGTGTCATTCAGATAAAAAAAACTGCCACATAATCTCTTTGAGAGTTTATGATGGTGGGGATAGTAACTCTTAGGAGTTGTGTTGTTAATTTATATGTCACACATTGATCATGTTGACTTCGTTCATGTACAATATTTCATGTCCCGTGTATCAGTGTGCCAAGTGGCACTACTGAATCATTTCATAGACAAAAAGTACATTGTGTACAAATGCGAAACAAAAAAACTAAAACAGTTGATACGGAAAAAATATTTTTCTCGATGTGTTATTATGCCAATATGATTAATAATTACATGTCTTGTATAGCTCCTCAACTCATGTCACTGTTCAATATTGGCCATATGTACCTTGAAGGGTTCTGTTTTGATACAGAATGTATCCATGTGTATGGAATAATGACATGGCAAGTGTTAAAGTCATGTGACTTTTATCTAGGACAATACTGATACATTGATGATGATATGAGGGATTTATCTAGAACCGATTGAAGTCTGATGTTCAGGTTATGGCAAATGGAGCAAATGTCACTAAAAGTTCCCCCAAAGAAATGCAAACTTTTCCAATTCATGTTAAAACTATTGTGATGGCTTGATCAAAGTAACTTGTATTTCTCTGATAACATGACCAGCGAAGATGAAGAGACCCATGCTTAATATTGCATTAGATGCAATGTTAGACAGCAGTGATAAAATAAATCTGATAAAAGAACTTTAAAAATCCCAATTTTGAAAAAATAGTATTTTTCCCCCCAATTTAGCTGACATTGCCACTCATTTTGGATTCCTAGGTAAATCCCTGATCATATAGAGAGGAACTGTACATTGAGGCCCTTACATTAAGAGCCACAGATCACTAAATGTTCTGATGCTGAAGATACATGCATTAAGCTTACAGGCATTTTGAAAGGAAATTAATCAGGGATACACATAGAGTAAAAGTTCAATGTGGACTTGTGTGTTTATGATAGCTTTTAGTTTGAATGAAGACGAGGATGGAAACAAACTTAATGAGATGTGTGAGCTTTTGCAAGATTGTGCATCAGTTTGTTGATAATTTTTCCGTTTCATTCTATGTGGGGAGAGGGTGGGGTTATTAGCGTCTGGAAGAGACATTCCAGCCAACTGGGTATTTGCAAGAGGCCTATAAGTGAAAGGTGCCTTAGGATCTGTTTGTTACAATCATGCTGTGAAGGACTAAAGATTTATGATATGGTTCCCATAGATCATTTTACATGTGAATCTGTCTTTCATTATATCATTTGGAAAAGACATGCAATATTGTTTTGTTCATCATGTGCTCTATTTATATATTTTCAAAGTGTATGTTTATTATTGTGTACTGTTGATTGACCAGAAGTCGCAGTTGGATTCTGTTGACAAACCTTTTTTACTGGTGAATAAACTTAAGATATTGTATCGATGACTTTTGTTTTTGTTAGACATTGATAAGTAGAGGACTTCAACTTTCCACCCGATGTGGTGGGTAGCTTTTTGGCTAAAGACTTTCGAAGGCCTGGAGTGGATTACCCCACTGGCTGCAATGTTTGAAGCCCAAATTTCTGGTGTCCCCTGCAGAGATATTGCAAGAAGATTGCTGAAAGTGGCATAAAAGCATATTCACTCACTCACTACTATCAACATTGCATTTGACAAAGCTGTTTGAAGATCATAGTCCAGCTTTAAGACTGCTCCCTTTGATGCTGGGGAGTGAGTTATGATGCTGTCAGAACTCCCAGGACAAACTAGCCTGTCCCAAACTGATATTTCCTATGTTCCTTACATCTTGTATTGGTTTTTTATTTGTTTAATGCTGCACTTGGCAATATTCAAGCCATATGACAGCGGCCTGTAAATATTGGAGTCTGGACCTGATAATCCAGTGATTAATATGCCCAAGGATCCACTCCGTCAGGCAACGATGACATGCAATTGACCAAGTCACCTGACCAGCCAATTCAGTTAGTCACCTCTTACAACCAGCATAGGTGTCTGGGGACCAGTCCTTAGCCAGAATGGCTGTAGGAAGGCAGAGGCAGATTACTTGTTACAACCGTACATATTCATTTAATATTAATTAAGTTTTTATTCCTAAAAAGTCAGACAGGAAGTTAAAAGGGGACGTAACTCCAAACTCACAACCCATTGCCCTTACTGAGAGTCGCAGCTAATCAGTATGCTGTGAAATGTCTGGCCGTGCTGAAGTGTCTACCCCCCCACACACACACATGCAGTCGCATCCCTATCCCTATCCCTGATCCCTATTTCTGTCAACTCTTACAATAAGCATACAGGCCTACCAAAGAAAAGGCTCCAATGCTACGGACTTTGAACACACTTTTAATAGAAATAGCCACCCAAATTGAAAGACACAATCCCCATAAAGACTGCAACAAATGGTTCCATGTTACATGCTTTGCTGTATCAGGTTCCATTGAAAAGGTACTTTTTCACCACAGTACCAATTGTTGTTTTCACCCAAGCGGTAAATGTCTAGACCACTGGTCCTTCGGCTTAACTGGAATACCTTTCCATGCACTCTCCTCTCTAAACTTAAAAGATTTGAAATACAAATACTCCAGATGCAACCCCCATCTTTTTACTAGACATCATCCTTGTCAACCTGTCTCCTTCATGTACCATACACACACAATCCGAGATCCACCTCTGTACCTCACACACAATCCGAGATCCACCTCTGTACCACACACACAATCCGTGATCCACCTCTGTACCTCACACACAATTTGTGTGTCAACCTCTGTACCACACACAATCTGTGATCCACCTCTGTACCACACACACAATCCGTGATCCACCTCTGTACCACACACACAATCCGTGATCCACCTCTGTACCATACCCACAATCCGTGATCCACCTCTGTACCACACACACAATCCGTGATCCACCTCTGTACCTCACACACAATTCGTGTGTCCACCTCTGTACCACACACAATCCGTGATCCACCTCTGTACCTCACACACAATTCGTGTGTCCACCTCTGTACCACACACAATCCGTGATCCACCTCTGTACCACACACACAATCCGTGATCCACCTCTGTACCATACACACAATCTGTGATCCACCTCTGTACCACACACACAATTCATGATCCACCTCTGTACCTCACACACAATCTGTGATCCACCTCTGTACCACACACACAATCTGTGATCCCCTCTGTACCACACACAATCTGTGATCAACCTCTGTACCATACACACAATCTGTGGTCCCCTCTGTACCTCACACACAATCTGTGATCCACCTCTGTACCATACAAACAATCCGTGATCCACCTCTGTACCTCACACACAATCTGTGATCCACCTGTGTACCATACACACAATCTGTGATCCACCTCTGTTCCACACACACAATCTGTGATCCCCTCTGTACCACACACAATCCGTGATCCACCTCTGTACCACACACACAATCTGTGATCCCCTCTGTACCACACACGATCCGTGATCCACCTCTGTACCACACACACAATCTGTGATCCCCTCTGTACCACACACAATCTGTGATCCCCTCTGTACCTCACACACAATCCGTGATCCACCTCTGTTCCACACACACAATCTGTGATCCCCTCTGTACCACACACAATCTGTGATCCACCTCTGTACCACAGACACAATCTGTGATCCACCTCTGTACAACCACTCACAATCTGTGATCCACCTCCGTACCACACTCACAATCCGTGATCCACCTCTGTACCACACACACTCTGTGATCCACCTCTGTACCACAGACACAATCTGTGATCCACCTCTGTTCAACCACTCACAATCCGTGATCCACCTCCGTACCACACTCACAATCCGTGATCACCCTCTGTACAACCACTCACAATCCGTGATCCACCTCCGTACAACACACAATCTGTGATCCACCTCTGTACAACCACTCACAATCCGTGACCCACCTCTGTACCACACACAATCTGTGATCCACCTCTGTACCACACACACAATCTGTGATCCACCTCTGTACAACCACTCACAATCCGTGACCCACCTCCGTACCACACACACAATCTGTGATCCACCTCTGTACAACCACTGACAATCCGTGACCCACCTCTGTACCACACACACAATCTGTGATCCACCTCTGTACAACCACTCACAATCCGTGACCCACCTCTGTACCACACACACAATCTGTGATCCACCTCCGTACCACACACACAATCTGTGATCCACCTCTGTACACCCACTGACAATCCGTGACCCACCTCTGTACCACAAACACTCTGTGATCCACCTCCGTACCACACACACAATCTGTGATCCACCTCTGTACAACCACTGACAATCCGTGACCCACCTCTGTACCACACACATAATCTGTGATCCACCTCCGTACCACACACACAATCTGTGATCCACCTCTGTACAACCACTGACAATCCGTGACCCACCTCTGTACCACACACTCTGTGATCCACCTCCATACCACACACACAATCTGTGATCCACCTCTGTACAACCACTGACAATCTGTGACCCACCTCTGTACCACACACACAATCTGTGATCCACCTCCGTACCACACACACAATCTGTGATCCACCTCTGTACAACCACTGACAATCCGTGACCCACCTTTGTACCACACACACAATCTGTGATCCACCTCCGTACCACACACACAATCTGTGATCCACCTCTGTACAACCACTGACAATCCGTGACCCACCTCTGTACCACACACACTCTGTGATCCACCTCCGTACCACACACACAATCTGTGATCCACCTCTGTACAACCACTGACAATCCGTGACCCACCTCTGTACCACACACACAATCCGTGATCCACCTCCTGACCACACACACAATCTGTGATCCACCTCTGTACAACCACTCACAATCCGTGACCCACCTCTGTACCACACACACTGTGATCCACCTTCGTACCACACACACAATCTGTGATCCCCTCTGTACCACACACAATCTGTGATCCACCTCTGTACAACCACTGACAATCCGTGACCCACCTCTGTACCACACACAATCTGTGATCCACCTCCGTACCACACACACAATCTGTGATCCACCTCTGTACAACCACTGACAATCTGTGACCCACCTCCGTACCACACACACAATCCGTGATCCACCTCCATACCACACACAATCTGTGATCCACCTCTGTACAACCACTCACATTCCGTGACCCACCTCTGTACCACACACACTCTGTGATCCACCTCCGTACCACACACACAATCTGTGATCCACCTCTGTACAACCACTGACAATCCGTGACCCACCTCTGTACCACACACACACTCTGTGATCCACCTCCGTACCACACACACAATCTGTGATCCACCTCTGTACAACCACTCACAATCCGTGACCCACCTCTGTACCACACACACATTCTGTGATCCACCTCCGTACCACACACACACTCTGTGATCCACCTCTGTACCACACACACAATCTGTGATCCACCTCTGTACCACACACAATCTGTGATCCACCTCTGTACCACACTCACAATCTGTGATCCACCTCTGTACCACACACACAATCTGTGATCCACCTCCGTACCACACACACAATCTGTGATCCACCTCCGTACCACACACACAATCTGTGATCCACCTCCGTACCACACACACAATCTGTGATCCACCTCCGTACCACACACACAATCTGTGATCCACCTCCGTACCACACACACAATCTGTGTTCCACCTCTGTACCACACACACAATCTGTGATCCACCTCCGTACCACACACACAATCTGTGATCCACCTCTGTACCACACACACAATCCGTGATCCACCTCTGTACCACACACACAATCCGTGATCCACCTCTGTACCATACCCACAATCCGTGATCCACCTCTGTACCACACACACAATCCGTGATCCACCTCTGTACCTCACACACAATTCGTGTGTCCACCTCTGTACCACACACAATCCGTGATCCACCTCTGTACCTCACACACAATTCGTGTGTCCACCTCTGTACCACACACAATCCGTGATCCACCTCTGTACCACACACACAATCCGTGATCCACCTCTGTACCATACACACAATCTGTGATCCACCTCTGTACCACACACACAATTCATGATCCACCTCTGTACCTCACACACAATCTGTGATCCACCTCTGTACCACACACACAATCTGTGATCCCCTCTGTACCACACACAATCTGTGATCAACCTCTGTACCATACACACAATCTGTGGTCCCCTCTGTACCTCACACACAATCTGTGATCCACCTCTGTACCATACAAACAATCCGTGATCCACCTCTGTACCTCACACACAATCTGTGATCCACCTGTGTACCATACACACAATCTGTGATCCACCTCTGTTCCACACACACAATCTGTGATCCCCTCTGTACCACACACAATCCGTGATCCACCTCTGTACCACACACACAATCTGTGATCCCCTCTGTACCACACACGATCCGTGATCCACCTCTGTACCACACACACAATCTGTGATCCCCTCTGTACCACACACAATCTGTGATCCCCTCTGTACCTCACACACAATCCGTGATCCACCTCTGTTCCACACACACAATCTGTGATCCCCTCTGTACCACACACAATCTGTGATCCACCTCTGTACCACAGACACAATCTGTGATCCACCTCTGTACAACCACTCACAATCCGTGATCCACCTCCGTACCACACTCACAATCCGTGATCCACCTCTGTACCACACACACTCTGTGATCCACCTCTGTACCACAGACACAATCTGTGATCCACCTCTGTTCAACCACTCACAATCCGTGATCCACCTCCGTACCACACTCACAATCCGTGATCACCCTCTGTACAACCACTCACAATCCGTGATCCACCTCCGTACAACACACAATCTGTGATCCACCTCTGTACAACCACTCACAATCCGTGACCCACCTCTGTACCACACACAATCTGTGATCCACCTCTGTACCACACACACAATCTGTGATCCACCTCTGTACAACCACTCACAATCCGTGACCCACCTCCGTACCACACACACAATCTGTGATCCACCTCTGTACAACCACTGACAATCCGTGACCCACCTCTGTACCACACACACAATCTGTGATCCACCTCTGTACAACCACTCACAATCCGTGACCCACCTCTGTACCACACACACAATCTGTGATCCACCTCCGTACCACACACACAATCTGTGATCCACCTCTGTACACCCACTGACAATCCGTGACCCACCTCTGTACCACAAACACTCTGTGATCCACCTCCGTACCACACACACAATCTGTGATCCACCTCTGTACAACCACTGACAATCCGTGACCCACCTCTGTACCACACACATAATCTGTGATCCACCTCCGTACCACACACACAATCTGTGATCCACCTCTGTACAACCACTGACAATCCGTGACCCACCTCTGTACCACACACTCTGTGATCCACCTCCATACCACACACACAATCTGTGATCCACCTCTGTACAACCACTGACAATCTGTGACCCACCTCTGTACCACACACACAATCTGTGATCCACCTCCGTACCACACACACAATCTGTGATCCACCTCTGTACAACCACTGACAATCCGTGACCCACCTTTGTACCACACACACAATCTGTGATCCACCTCCGTACCACACACACAATCTGTGATCCACCTCTGTACAACCACTGACAATCCGTGACCCACCTCTGTACCACACACACTCTGTGATCCACCTCCGTACCACACACACAATCTGTGATCCACCTCTGTACAACCACTGACAATCCGTGACCCACCTCTGTACCACACACACAATCCGTGATCCACCTCCTGACCACACACACAATCTGTGATCCACCTCTGTACAACCACTCACAATCCGTGACCCACCTCTGTACCACACACACTGTGATCCACCTTCGTACCACACACACAATCTGTGATCCCCTCTGTACCACACACAATCTGTGATCCACCTCTGTACAACCACTGACAATCCGTGACCCACCTCTGTACCACACACAATCTGTGATCCACCTCCGTACCACACACACAATCTGTGATCCACCTCTGTACAACCACTGACAATCTGTGACCCACCTCCGTACCACACACACAATCCGTGATCCACCTCCATACCACACACAATCTGTGATCCACCTCTGTACAACCACTCACATTCCGTGACCCACCTCTGTACCACACACACTCTGTGATCCACCTCCGTACCACACACACAATCTGTGATCCACCTCTGTACAACCACTGACAATCCGTGACCCACCTCTGTACCACACACACACTCTGTGATCCACCTCCGTACCACACACACAATCTGTGATCCACCTCTGTACAACCACTCACAATCCGTGACCCACCTCTGTACCACACACACATTCTGTGATCCACCTCCGTACCACACACACACTCTGTGATCCACCTCTGTACCACACACACAATCTGTGATCCACCTCTGTACCACACACAATCTGTGATCCACCTCTGTACCACACTCACAATCTGTGATCCACCTCTGTACCACACACACAATCTGTGATCCACCTCCGTACCACACACACAATCTGTGATCCACCTCCGTACCACACACACAATCTGTGATCCACCTCCGTACCACACACACAATCTGTGATCCACCTCCGTACCACACACACAATCTGTGTTCCACCTCTGTACCACACACACAATCTGTGATCCACCTCCGTACCACACACACAATCTGTGATCCACCTCTGTACAACCACTGACAATCCGTGACCCACCTCTGTACCACACACACTCTGTGATCCACCTCTGTACCACACACACAATCTGTGATCCACCTCTGTAAACCACTGACAATCCGTGACCCACCTCTGTACCACACACACTCTGTGATCCACCTCTGTACCACACACACAATCTGTGATCTTCTTCTATACAACTACATACACAACAAAGTCCTGATGTCTTGTTTAACAAGCACTTTTTTATTTACATCCTATCACTGTCTACGAAAAATGACATGAGTTACAGGCACCAGATGTGGCTTGATTCTAGGGGTTAGAAAAATAGTGTATCATACAAAATGTACAATGCATCGAGTATGAGTATATTTCCAACATGGCATGACGTCACTACCCTGCTACACATACTCTCTCTCGTCTATGTCCAACATCAATGATATATGTAGTGTGCCTCTGTTATATTATGCACAGTTGTTCAACAACAATGAAATGAGGACAATGTGTCAACGTCCAGAATAAACATTCATGAGTAGGTACTATAAGCGGAGTTATCTCCCTTCAAGGATTGCTGGGTTGGAATCTCTACGCTTCCTGTTGATATAGAATTATAAAACACAATCTCAATTATGCTGTTGTAGAATGGGTTAAGCAATATCTAAAACAGGACATATTCATCCACTGTTTTATATTAATAGCACTTATTTGCATTGAACACATTTATAGCAATTGAGATCTGTACATATTCATTTTACCCCAGTTCCTGAGTTCAGCCTTTTCATGATCTGATATTGTCAGTTAAGGGAGAAAACTCAAGTGGAAAAAAATGTATCATTTTCCAGTCACTCCTCTACGATTATGGCAACCAAACATGCATTTATAGCTAGTAGATCATCCCCTCTTGCCAAAAACACCGGATAAAATATTTACAGATTTGAGAGAACAGGGATAGTTGAGGGAGATGAGAGTTAAATCAAATTTACACCTTATTTGCTCATTAGTTTAGAGACAACTAATATTTGGCAGTAAGTAAAATGATTCAGCTCATCAATATGGACCAATATATTTTCAGCAGAAGAAATTATTCCTATAATGAATTAAATGTTTTTTTCTTAATAATATGAAACCATTGGTTACATGCATACCACATTACTCCCCAATAGTACTTTTGACAAAGAGTCACGGAAAACAATTTAAATACCAGTATAGATACCCAAACCACTGCTTCGGGAGGGGCCACCGGGCTGCAACTTGTGGCTTTATCGAAAAGCTAATGGTTGAGTACGGAGTGCTGCACTGATGGTCTTAAAAACCGAGATAATTATGCAGTGAATTATTTCAGCTGACTCACCCCTAATAATAGAAGACTTTCAAGTGAAAATGTTGACAGCGGTGTAGAGTGTGCACGCTCTATGAGGCGTACTAATCTTGTTGATGTAAATAACGAAATTCATTTCAGGAATCTTTTAAACAAAGCAAAAACAATTATTTATTGCTAATGTGCTTATGATTTCCTGAATTATTTCCATTAATTGTTTAACTATTTTATGTGCACCCTCTTTTATCCGTGCTTGTTTTGATAGTGGTGAAAATGTTAGTCTCTCAGTAGAAGGGACTGATCTAACCATGTTTATCTTATCTCACCAGCTTCAGGCATCCACAACTAGAGCAAGATGCCTTTGTGACACCAAAATACATATATACCCTAATTCATGTACATGGGAAACTTCGTAAAATATTTGATATGACAATATGTTAAAAAAGTGTTGGAAGATGTTTAAAATTGGTTTGTAAAGACAAGTACGGTAATCATTTGACCGATACATTATCCTTCTAAAATATTACATCAAATTTGGCTGGATGACCATGTTAGGATTTAACATTCTTGAATGAAAAATTTATTTTGAATATATATGAAAGCTTTATGTATTGATAACGATATATAAAAGAAATGTTCACTAAAAAAATCTTTCTTATTTCCAACACTACTTACTTTGCATAATGTTTTATTAAATCTCATATTTCTTGGCTGAATTTTCAAAATGAGACAGATTTCAAATCATATAGTTGATCAATGGATTTCTCATGAAAAACATAAGATAAGTGAAACAGGTTACTAATTTCATAATTGCTGTTTAAAATGGAATACATTGTGTAATTGATCTAACTTTAAAAAGCCCAAAGGGAGATAATTCACAAACAGAAACAGAATTGCCTCCCTTTGACTATTGAGGAAAACAACTGTCCGCTTTACTGTTAACTTGTCCAATCCTGTTCTAGGCAAGTACCACTTAAAATATTTAACTTTACTTGCTTTACTTTTGAGAAGAAAATATTTCACTCACAAATAGAATGTGATGAACCGAAAAAATAAGCCTGATGTCAAAACTATTTCATTCCTCAAAATTTCCGTTTTCCTAATCTACAGATCCACATTGTTACATGGCCAACACTCAGCCTTGAGTAAAATGTGTCACTTCAATTTGACAGATTATGAAGAGAACATTGCCTCAATTCTTAACCAAAACTTTGTTTCAGTACCACAATGATGCTATAAAATATCAAAGTCTTCATAATAAAATTTGCACATACTTTTTCTTTAAAAAAGATGTATACATTCTCAAACATGATATGGACAAATCTGTACAAACAAAACATACTCTAAAACAAAACAACATTTTGAAAACTATTCATAAGCACTTCATTTACATCTGAACAATTTTCTTTTCACAATGGCAGTATATATTTTTTCCATATCATAAGAATTATATTGCGATGTTTTCTGTGAAAATTACTTTCAAGGGAAACTTCTTAAATGTATAAATGGATATGGTAAATTTCAGTTGACGGAATGCATTGCCAAGCACTTCAAGCTGATACTGATCTCTGCAGTAATATGTAATACATGTATCCTTCTTAGCTAATTATGCAAATATTATCGAGATCAGCACTTCAGGACGAAATAGAACAATGATCATGCCATCTAAAAACCATGATAGTGACAAAAACAATCAACTGTACTTTCTTAGTGAAAATATATCAAAACAAAACAAAGATATTACAGAAAACTGTAATGAAATGTCTCCTTATTTGGAGATCTAAGTCTCAAAATGGTTACCTCTAGATATTTTAAACAATGCATACAAAAACAGAACAACTAAAACCTTGCTTATTATGCTTCGATAAATGAGAGAGAAAAAAAAAGAAAGTATATATGAATATCAATAACACCCTATCACAATAATGTGCAACTTCTACGACAAGCACTTGCCGTTAAGATCAAAACCAATCTTTTGGCATGCATTCTGAAAGAATATATTTAGAATATATTCATGTAAATTGGCCAAAGGTCATACCTATTATGCTGTGTGGTATCAGGATAGAGGCATCATGCTAATCCTCCACAATGGTATAGTGACTGTATTAACTTCAGACCATTTCTATTTCTATTTCTGATATGTTATTGAGAGAAAATCAGAAGTATGCAGATGTAATTTGAAATGTTATTGTTTCACTTATATGGCCAAAATTATCATTTTAAAACTACAATTAAATTCTTATTTTAATTTTGCATTTCTTGGCTTTAAATATTCAAAATGGTATAAAGATATATGGGCTTATTTTATTTTGTATTGTTTGCTTTAAATATCAAAAACAGTATCCAAATATATGGGGTCTGCCTTTTTCCATAGCATATAATTAAGGTATGACTTCCCGCGTCAGTATGATCTTTGATTTCCCGGTATATCCCCTTGCTGTGTTGTATCCCACACAGCCACAAAGGTTGACAAGTTGAAATTAATCTTTAATTTAAACACTGCATCATCAATTGCCAAAGATTTTAGTCACCTGATTCTGAATCATCAATAACCTTACCTGAGGTAAATGTACACATGATTCAATGTCACCCATAATATGTCCACTGACAATGATATATGATTCTACATTAAAACTTTCACTGTACTCCACCAATGCATGTTGAACAAGCTTTCTGTTACACCGAGTCACTGAAAGAGTCACACTCACAACAATGTTGCAATGTGTCCAGCAAGATGCCTTCTAGGAACGACTCCTTGCTGCACCGTAAGCAATAGCACCCATAATGCCACAATAAATGCAAGATAAAAAGGGAAAACACATGACAGTACAAGATGTCCATATATGCACCAACATCCACGTCTATCTCACTCTACACTCTGTTACTTCATGTTCAAATACTTGTTCTCCTCCGCTAACGTTGTCAACACAGAGCTCATATCATTTACAGCCATATTATTCATATTGAGCACTGGATTAAACCGCGAGGAACTCTGAGATGCTGACCGGTTCGAGGCTGCTGTTGGACTGAAAATATTTTCCTGTGATATTGAGCTTATATTGTCTATGAGATTTTCAGTCGATATTGACGTTAAGTTGTCCATGAAATCTTCAATCGGTGGCGCCGTGGTCTCGGCAGGGTCGGTGCTGCTGGTCACCTGGTTGCACCCCGGGGACATCTCAAGCTGGTTGGGGAAGGGGCCATGGGGCTGCTGGATCTGGCAGCTCGGCCGGTTGTTCTGGGGGGTGCCCGAGGGGGTGTTACCACTAGGCGGATGGGGAAACATGGGGGGTACAGGTTGTGGGGGAAACAGTTGCTGTGTTGGTGGAAGTGGGGGGGCAGGCGGGGGTGGCATGCTGTTCACCATGTTGGGTGTCATGTTGCTGTTCATGTTGGGGTTCATGCCGTTGCCCATATTGTCCCCAGGGTACATCTTCTGTTGGTGGAAGTTCTGCTGCATCCCTGGCATGTTCTGCATCTGTGGCATCGGACCCTGCTGCATCGGCATCTGCATATTGTTGAACATACCAGGGTTGTTCTGCTGTTGCTGCTGCTGCATGAGCTGTTGCTGTCTCAGCAACCGGGATGCGGTCTTGGCATTTGGTGGTATCTGTGATTGGCTTATATGAGGAACCTGCACCTGAGGACTGGCACGTTCCGTCTTCTGTCGCATGTTCATCTGCATCGGCATCCCATTCTGCATTTGCATTTTTGGCATGCTTGGCGGCGTTGGCGCAAACATCTGTGGAGACTGAGGTGGCAGCATGCTACCTTGACCTTGATTCTGACCTTGACCTTGGTTCATCATAACTGGCCATTGGTTCATATTGTTTCCCTGACCATTGTTACCCATCCTTCCTTGCTGTGGAACATTTTCAGGAATTGTGGTCATCCCCCCTTGTGGCATATTTCCCTGTTGCATGTTCTGCTGGCTCATGCCTTGCATCTGCATCGCCTGGGGCGACAACTGACTTCCAGGAGAATGCTGCATTTGCATATTTCTCATTTGCATATTCTGCATCTCGTTATTGAAGTTCTGACCCTGGTTCCAACCCTGCTGCATGTTTGGCATCATGCCAGGCCCACACTGGCCACCATTATTAAACTGCTGACCATTATTCCCGCACATCATGTTAGAGTTCATACCCTGATTGTCATAGAAACCAGACTGCATTTGTATATTGTTGCTATAGGGATGTGGCACCGAGGGTTGCTGGTTTGAGTATTGGTTATTGGGACTGTGGTTTTGAGACGGAAAGTTCCCTTGCATCCTTTGCTCCATATCTGGCGGATGAGGGTCATACCCTGCGTAGCGTTCGTTCAGGAATCTCTGCATGTCGTCAGGGATTATCATATCCTCGTTATCCTCCAGCATCTTCTCTTCCAGTGATTGCTCATTGTATGTCTCCATGTTGTTTCCAGGGGATCCGTACTCCGCATCCTCTGCGACGCTGTAGTCAGTAGCGATGCTGCTTCTGGAAGAGTGAAAGGTGTTGTTTGACCCACACTTTCCTTGCAGACTCTTCATACTAGGCGGAACAGGAAGAACCTTCATGACATTCAGACTGTGGTAGCGCTGAAGCCGCTTCAGGTCACGGAAACTGTGGTCCACAGTCCGTACAGGGTCACTGGCTCTCCTGATCTCCCGGTTGGGAATCTCGTGAGGCAGTGGCGTGCGACAGGGCGTGCTGGTCCGTGCACCTTCCATCTCCCGCCGGTGGGCGAAGAACCTTGCAATATTCTCATTGCAGTATTTGCTAGCGGGACTTCGGATTGGCATCTGTTGAGACTGCACCACCAAATTGGGATGGCTCCCGAGATGGGCCTTCTGCATCATGTTGGCCACATTACCAATGTTACTACTCTCACTCGACCTCCTGGAGGCATGGTGGGGCAGATTTCCTGAGATGTCGTACTCGTACGGAGAGTTGGCGATGCTCAATCGGTTGGACGAGAGCTGTGATGTTTCACTGGATCTCCTACTGGAGAACTGACTACCGAAGGGGTAGGGGCTGGTGTCGGACCTCATGCTGCTCATGTAGGAGCTGAGGGTGCTGGTATTGCTGTCACGGCGTCCGCCACCATAGATCATCTGAGTCTGCAGCTCTGTGCGACCTGCAATAACGAGACAAGACAAGACATCAGCATGGGACAGATCATGTAGTAATCACTACATTGATTGTGACTGACATTTTACTTATAAAATGACATTGAAATTGTTGAATAAATCACACTACATTTTGCCAATGTGCTAGTTGTCCAAATATTCATTTAACCTGATCTAATTTTTTTTAATCTAATGACTTAAAACAATTTTCCTTCACATAACCACATCGTACCTGCCAGATCAGCAATACGTTTGTGAGGTGGACTTGTTTTAATCTGAGTCATCTTGACATTTAAGTCGTTCGAACTGTTGTTGCAGCGCCGACCATCTGCAAAAATACAGGTCGTTCTTCATAAAGTTCGTCAATATATGGGTACCATTGCACTTTCTTTGAGCAAGAACATGCTTGTAGAATGAACATGTTGTCGAGAATGAACCATCGCCCGATAACCTTAACACCACAACACAGAGGACTATGTTGAAATCTTATGATTATACCCCACACTGAGATTCAAACTTTCGTACTTATACCCCCACCCATATGTCTGCCCCATCACCATCAGCAAAGAAGCAAGCTGATTGGTCCATTTTGAGAACAGACATGACACCAAAGCAGTGGGAACTTACTTGGGCTTATTGGAGGCAACTGGGAGTAGACCGACAGAGAGTTGCTTTTGTTGTTGATTCGGCCTTTCATTCGGTTCTGCATCACCTGGCCAGAATTTATTTGGTTGCGACGTACCAACAGGGACTCGGATCCACCAGGTACCTGTGAACAGAGATACTTGTATTTCAATTGTATCCCTAATACTTTGTTGGCAGTGGGGTGGCCTCGCTGTAAAAGTGTTGCTGAAGCAGTCATGCTGAAGGGACACAAAGGTGATATTGCTGAAATATTGCTAAAAATGGCGTGAAACCATACTCACTCACTCACTCAATACTATGTTTAACTGTTCATATTCAATATGGCAGGAACTGGCCAATACATGTCTTCTAAAAAATATTTGCACTGATTGATAATCAGATATATCTTATTCTGTTTTGACAATGACAACATTTCTTTCAAGCATGCAAAAAACACCTAGTCCATCATCAGTAATGGAGGTGAATTACTACGGCACCAACAGCCATAAGGTTCAAATATGTGAACATGTTTTTCTTACATGATAGCTTTAAAATAGGTGATAAAAGTTGCTATGAGCCAGTTATCTTTGAATTCTCATATCCAGCCTAAGACAAAGAAGGTCATTCAAAGCCCCTCAGCTCCTACCTCTGCCTCGTCTGGTTCTGGGATGTCGACTTCCTCCTCCTCCTCCAATGAGATGCTCCCAGGGTTTCCCCCTGACGATGTGATGTGGGTTCCTCCACTCAGATGCTCCTCGATGGTGTCGGGCTGGATGTTGTTGGTCACGTTGACTTCAGGACTGCTCTGGGGTGATGGGTTGTTTTGAGACACGGATGACCCCACATTATCCTGGAAAATAATTGTTATCATTCATCATTTGAAATAACATCAGAGTTCAGTGATGGTTACTTGAGTGTTCAAAACTTTACCAGCAGGAAGTCCTTGCAAATAATCACTCAAACTCGTATGTGAATTGCCAAGTTGGCTATTAATTAAGAATAACCTTCTGGTGACAGTTCTCCAATTCCTCGCAGAATAAATTTCATGTCCCTAATCCTGAGGTAAAACATTTCCAAGTTTTATACTCAAATCAATAGCTGTACATCTTGAGCAGCGCTTCTGTCAGTTTACAGGAGGTGACTGTCACTCAGAGAACATAAGCACAAGATGCTAAGGACAATGCATGTGTTGTACCTGTGACTTTCTTCTATCTCCTGGTGCTGACGTCTGTAATGAAGTTACCATGAGACACTCCTCCATCTTCTTGCACTGGTCATCATCTTTCTTGTCCTGTAACATGGCAGACTGTCAGTCAGTAACATCAATGGCAAATGATCATTCAGTCAGCAACATCAATGGCAGATGGTCAGTCAGCAACATCAATGGCAGACAGTCAGTCAGTCAGTAACATCAATGGCAGATGGTCAGTCAGCAACATCAATGGCAGATGGTCAGTCAACAACATCAATAACAGGGTTAGTAAGTAACATCAGAACAATATCTGCTCATTTACATCCGCAAACATTGTTAAGTACGACTAGTGTAAGTCTTTATGCTTAGGATATAGGATGTGAGGTGAAATGCATCCAAGATTATTGCACTTAAATAGTGATGTGCATGCGTGCATGTGTGTGAGTGTGTGGCTGCTTGTCCTAGTCTGGACTAATGTTGATTTTATAGTGGGAGCCCACTGAGATACCATGCCGCAGTTTAACATGGATACCCCACTTAGACACAGTATACTGACTCTGAGCTGACCAGACCCTTAAAGGCGAGCGCCAGGCAGGGTAACAAGTACCATCTTTTGATGTCTTTTGGTATGATGTAGCTGGGCGGGTGCTCTACCACTAGACCGAGGAGGTGGTCCTCAGGATAAAGGAGTTACACCACAAACACCATGAACACTGGTACAAAAGAGCCCTTAACAAAGATAACAGACATGGGTAGGAGAGATCACAAAGAGATCTTTGTCGTAAGTCTACGTAAAGTATGGGAGTTACGATCATCTTAGTGGAACAGGGTCCAGAGTTGATCAGTTTGATTCTTACATCATCGGGCTCTTCTTTCTTGGGGTTGCAGCCGGTGATTTGATCATTTCCTTTATGTTTCTTGTTTGCGTAGAACTCGGGACCGTGGACGGTTTTGACGTGCTTCCTCAAGGAGCTGGGGTCAGTGTAGCGTTTCGTACAGCCTGCTGCCTTACATACATATGGTTTCTGTGGAAGAAAGTAAGAGGAACATCAGCTATAGCACTCTTTATTACTCAGTACCACATTCAGGCTCATGGTAAACAAGCCCATTCAGTTCTCAAAACCCCATGCGCCCTAGCACATGTAACACATAACACAAAGGGCCAGGTACCCAGGATGTGTAGATCCTAAAACTCGCTAATCAAGACAGTGTCAAATATGTCCAGATTAAGGGGGTGGCACTGTGGACAGAATAGTTTTGATTCAAGTGAAACATTAATCTCTCTAGTCTCCTACCAGAACCACCATTTAGGCACAGGGAGCTGCACTCTTTGCTGTGCAGAGTTGTGTCCCCTTGGCATGCCAGAAACCTAGATGTGATTACGTCTCTAGGTCTGTCGGCACCATGCCCATGCTTGTGGCTTTCACCAAAGTCTTAAATGTCTAACATCAGCATCACTTCTGTCACACATCGTGAAAAATCTCTAATATTGTTCAAAGCGTTGATAATCCAAACTCACTTACTCACTCTAACAAGAATCACCAACACAGGCATATATACTCACAGCATTGGAGTGGGTTCGATTCTGATGCTTGGCCCGGTCGGATGCGTTACTGAACGCCTTGGTGCATCCTGGGAACTCGCACATGTAGGGCTTCTCACCCGTATGAGACCGAAGATGGGTTTTAAGGTTTTCAAGTCGTGAATATGCCTTCGAACAACCTTCAAACTGAAAGTAAAACAAACAGCTATGAGCAACTCAAATCCTAATCTGCTTGTTTGTGCGAAGGAAGCAAATGGTATCGAGACATTCCAATGACTTGTGATTGGTAAACATCATGACGCCATTCTGGATGATATTCAGCCACTGGCCTTGAACATAAACTCATCTGATACCCTGAGCATTAGGACTAAAGCATACCATTATCCTGCAGTATGCTATATTTCTTCTTTGTTTCGGAATTTTGGGTAAAAATAATAATAAAATATTTAATTTCCTTATTATTTGCATTGTTTCACATTAACTCTACCCAGAAATTCATTCACAAATGATGTTTTGGAATTGATTGACAAAATGACGGAAACGCAGAAGTGATTGTTCTCTCATGTTGTTATCTCTCCTGTATCCATGACTACAAAATGGCGGTGACCTTAACTTCAGTATGTAGAAAATAGGACCTGCGTGTACAATCAGTGTCAATCAGTGTCAAACATGTTAGCTCCCAATATATCACAATATGTGTAGCAAGTCAGATACCTATATCGCAATATGCTGCAATACTAATTTATTGCCCGCTCTACTGAGCATGAAAGTAATTGTTTCACGATGAATTACAATGAGCATATGTTAGCACTGGAGCTACTATCAACATAAAACATATATCACAAATATTGGTAAAGGCTTGAAATATCAAACTGTCTCACAATGTCTACATTTATTTCAATATTTATCCTGTTTTCGTTTGGAACTAAAATATTTCCCAAAGATTTGTTAACAGGGTAATGTGCAAAAATACAAGACAAAACTAATTACATACTTGTTACATACATACGAAAATCAGGTGAGCTATAATTAGAGAATCTTCCACATTGGCAGATTCATAAGGTGAACGTTTTGAAAACCATTTTGATTACTGTTATATAATTAAAAGCAAGAATCACTGTAATTAATCACTTCATTTTTAACACTTGGGGAAGTCAGTATGACTGTCCCCTGCTATGATACATATCGCAATATGTTTATGATACGATATGTATTGCGATACTTATTTCGTGGCAATTTTGCATGAATTCTTTATATTTCATAGTGCATTAATACTATTCAAATGCTTGCAACTTCCTGAATATCTAGTCTCATTTGAAAATAAAAATCAATACTTTATTTCAGATACAACTTTAGAGTCAACACCAGTTAGAAAAAGACGAACAGGATTGAAGTCTTAACTATGTACATCTACACTGTACAATGTAAATGTTGCATAAATTAATAATAACATTGTTTCTTAAAATGTAGATAGGACCCAATTTGCCCAGATAATGATTTCTTTGCTCTGAACGATACAGGACTGAAATATGAATGGATACAGGACCAAAATATGAATCGATGCAGATAAGTGTGTAACACGTATCATATCCTCTGAGAATATGATCAATATATTTGTGAATCGTGACATCCCTATCAATCATACCAACTTCTAACTCTTCAAACATTTACTAAAAACAAAGTACTTAAAACAATAGTTGGCTGCTTCAGAACAATCTACTTTTGTGTCTTTTATCAAAAACTCAGGTGCACTTACAACTCCAAGGCATGCCACCACAATGTAAATACACACATACATATATCCCCAAACAACGACATACTTTTACTGTTCAACTACGTAATGACTATTTAGGGTGATACTTGACTGCCTTAAAATGGCATCCCTCGTCTCCCCTTCTGCACTGAAATCAATTCGAGTTGACACTAAATACAAAGTCCTTGAGATAAAATTATTCCTAAATCTCCTAAAGAAGTATATTTCCTACAAGCATGTACATATTTCCCATAAGACACTTTAGCCAACTTACCATAATCATTCTGATTGGACATGATGCTGCAGGCCACAGTGTCTAACAAATATTATTCCACTGTCGACAAAGTAGAATTAATGCCTAGATTATCAGGCTGAACTTGGATACAAAGAGCTTTGAGCATTTGACAGCTACACTGACATCCCATATCAGTGTCAAAAGGACACTCTCTGATTTCCTTTATTAAAGCTTTGGATAAACACAAAGAACTGAAAAATCAATAGTCATCACAGAGTTATGTCCCCTTGACCATATGTTGAACAGTCTGTCACTTTATTAATGCTGGTGTCTAGGTTCTGTTAATATCAATCATTGTTTTTTATGAAAGGTTGCTTGACAACTGTGTATCTTGATCTAATACATATGCATACATTGTAATAAATACGTTTTTTTCAGTAAAATTCATTTTATAGTCGTGTAACAAAATTCTAAAAATGTAAATTTCTTTGTTTCAATAATAATGACTATGCATAGTTTCGTGCTATTAAAATAAATATAGCATACTATTTAACATTTTATAAAGTGGAGTATTTCCTTTTTTGCCAAGCATTTCACACATTTACATATATAATACAAGTTTTGTAGGATTTAGTGCATCTAACAAACTACCATAACTACCATTACGAAAAGTAAGAACTTAAGGATATTTCCTGCAAAGGCCGACCGGGCACTAGTGTGTTTGGTACAAACTTTAGTTCAGTTTTATTTTCAAAATAATATCTGAAATTCTAATGTTATTAATGAATTTAAAAATGACTTGATATTGAACTATCCACATCCTGACCTGACCATTTGTCCTTGAAAATCTGTACAAGACATAGAATTTCCTTGGCCCAATGAAACAAATATGTTTCATACATAAACATAGAATCAATTTTGATAAAATTATTTGAAGTGAACTTTTGAAAATAACTTTAACCAAATAAACATACAACTTAACTTCAGATTAAAATTTATATTGATTTATTTTAAATTAAATTAAATCTCATATCTAAATTAAATAAAATAAAATTTAAAATTATATGAAATTATCAGTCCCTGTAAACTGTATTTACATGAACCACTGACATTAAAACACTGACATTAAAGCTAGATCCATTACACCAGTAAGAAAAACAAATGTACGCTAAAAGCTCAGTGGAAGTATATTTCTGGTGAGCAGCTGAATAAATGCAGGTTGTAATGTGTTTGTATAGCGACATACTAGCCAATTACAGCAACAGAGGGTTGCCATATCAACTGACACAAGGAGGGGTGTGGTCACACATTACACACATCCCACACAGCTCACACAACTGCCAAGCCATCTTACATCATGGCTTGGGTAATGCTTGCATTAACTCTTTCAAATGTCATAAGCCATGTGGTGGGAAATGGGCGAGTTTATATTGTTTCAAAATACAGAAACATTATAACTGTATTCCATGTAAATGATTTGTATTTGTATATATTTGTTACCCAAATGTCACATTTGCATCTGAATTCATGTGACAGATGGACAAATATCTAGGGTGATTTTGACATGAAAAATATTCACTGTTTTCCAAAAGCATTCTTCTCCTCCTTTGTGCAATATGTATCATTCCTGACAACATACTACAGTGGTTTCAATGTAATAATTGTTTAAAATGCAGAAATAATTGTTGAAATAACACATCAACTCTTCAAATAATGTTCAAAATATTGATAAGATTTCAGTTAGCTTGTGCTCTCCGCACAACTAATTGTCACCTGCTGAGACTATCAGGTGGAAAACTACTCAGAGTTGTTATTATTGGCGACCATCCTTGCACAGCTTGGATAACATTTACTAGGAAGATCTCATTATTTCCGTGAGATAACAAACCCGTATCTCACCACTACATCAGCGTGGGCTACAGGTGAGGCAGCAGCAGAAATAGTCTGGCGTGATACGAGATGAGAGATGCATTGTTTTTTGCCGATTAGCGGCAGCTATTTCAAGCTGCATGCTGTGGAGGTGTGTGTGAACACACACGTCAGTCTGCCGCTAACAACTTTACCCGTTACTGTGATAGTTAGACGAGTATTTCACCTGTTAAGGCATAATATCACTAACGCCTCAGTTACCATGCATATGACACAATCACATTATTCCTGACAATACTGTAATGTGAACACACAATGTCATTAAAAAGGGGTCTAACATAACAAGTGAAGTACAGATTCTAGTACTTTTAGGGGTTGAGTCCCATCTGGTATTCGAACCCACACTGTCAGAGTGAGGCACCTAATCGCCAGCACACAAAGCCTCAGTGGCTGAGTGGGTTAGATCGCTGACTTTGTGTGCTGGCGATTAAGTGCCTCACTCTGGCCGTGTCGGTTCTTATCAGGGATGGGGCTCCACCCCCAAAAGGACTAGAATCTGTACTTTACTAAGAAAGTGTTATCCCAAATATAATTTTGTTATGGTTTCATAATTTTATCATTATTACATAAGGTAGACACAGGAGTGGATGCCATGCTGCTGTCATGGTGACTAATTTACGACACCCATTGTCTAAAGAACATTTAATTGCAAAGGCTCATTACCCTGGAGCCATGACATCTATATGCCTTGAAACATTTAATTGCTGTTATTTATTAGATGCTAATCCTATTTGTTAATCCCCATTTTTGTGTACATCGACCGTCTGCCATCCTGAACAGGATGTGCAAGTATGTCACTGATGATTTACTGTTTACATTTATATTTATTACTTACTAAATGTCAGGTGACCTTGGCTATATAAGCCTTGGTCCAGAGAGATTGAGAGAAGGAGAGAAGGGGTTTGACTCTATTACCAAGCAGACCTCTCTCCCACAGCCCAGAGTGTGTACCGACTCTCTGTGGCACCCTCAGTTATTATCTAAGTATATTGTAAATTGTTAATTGTTCTTGTAAATAAAATTGTGATTAGTCTCCTGTGACTCTGGCTCTTTGCTGACTAATTCCCCAAGAAAACCAGCACGCCATTTGGAAGGTATTGTTCACCCAGAACAGTTCCATGATACTGCACACCCATCATATTTCCTCCTTGGTGCTGCCATTACTCATTTGCAATGGATTGCTTCCTTCTACACTTCATTTGTCTAAAATGATGAACTGGCTGCAATATTTACAGCCATTATCCAAATTTTAGCTATCTTTTTTGTTTTGTTTGTTTGTTTATTGTTGTAGCTGCACTCAGCAACATCCCAGCTATATGATGGCAGTCTGTAAATAATTGAGTCTGGACCAGACAATCCAGTGATTGACATCATGCGCATCAATCTATGCAATTGGGATACGATGACATGCATCAACAAGTCAGTGAACCTAACCACCCGATCCCGTTAGTAGCGTACAACAAGCATGGGTTGCTGAAGACCTGTTCTCCACTGGGTCGCTATATGTTGTTGAAATCCAAACTTCGTATCCAAGTTTGTAGCCATCAGCTATCTTTAGGGACTAATAAGAAAATCATCATCCCAAATGTGAATGTTTTTGAAATTTTGAAATCAATGGCAAATTATCACCAGAGAGGTTTGCACTGCACATAGACTTGGCATACAAAGAACCATGTACTAGACAGAAACACCCCTGAATATGTGCAGGATATTTATTGAAGGGAAGCCTGAACACACAATTTCATAAAAATATCCTAAACAAAGTTATTAATGATCCTTAACTTTTTTTGTTCAGCATAGTAACATATTTGGTGCAAAGAGACCTATCTATGACCAAAGTGTGCTGTATTTAAAGGATTTAACTTTTTTTTAAGATCAGTATTCTCAAAATCAAAATTGAGTTCATCTCAGTGTCTAATTAACGAATGAAGGGGGTAAACTAGACTAACATCTGGTACATATTATACAGAAAAAAAATATTTGTTAAATTATTTTAATAAAAAATTAATAATAAGGAGCCCAGAGACTCTCTTCATTTTCAGATACTAAAGAAATTAGGACTAGGGGTAAACGTGCATTCTACGGCGCTCATCTTGCTTATTAATAACCACACCAAATTCACAGTTAGCTCATCGGGTTAACAGTTTTGCATAGAAATATTCTTAATAGTATTTAACTTTTTAAATATTTGAACCATATATGGATAAAATGTTATCTAAAAAATGGCATCAAAACATTTAAATGTTAGTGAGCAAACTTTTTCCAAAAAGTTATGAAACTGCACATTTATGTATTTCACTCAATTTCTAATGTGCATCACTCCATTGATGATGTCATACAGTGCTATGACATCACACAACAAAATTACAATGCAGTGATGTCATAGTTAAAGGAATGTTGTGGCACTACTCCAATTCACCTTTGCTGTAAGCGGACAAAATTCTAAATTCAAGGATCAAGCGAGCCCTAAATATATTTAGTCAAATCAGAAGACTTTGGATGTCTATTTTTAGCATCATGTCATTCAAACCCGACTGCAAATGAAGCTACAAAGGCACATAGTCCCAGGTATAGATGACAACACATTGGAGACTGTCAGCCCCTCCTGCAGGGTGCAGGGGTTTCTTTTAGAGGGAATTAGGGACTCAGCAGTGTGGTACGTGGAACTCACTCAATCGTATTCATCAGGCCATAACTGAATAACGGACATGAAATTGTAACGTTAAGTAACACGATGTCATAACATTTAGGAGGACAATGACGTCACAATACTATATTAATGTATATATATATTTTAATAATATTTTTTGGTGATTTTACTTGAAATCGGCTTCTTTTCTTCATGTTTTTGAGATTTATGTTAAATTGTATACAGGATTCAGAGGTGAGCAAAAGAGATGCTATTCAGGATTCAGGAGAGGAAGGGGTTGGCACCCTCATATGGATGTATAACACAGTGGATCTTTGAGGCCATGCTAAAGAACAATGGTGTACGTACTGTACACTTGTGAGGTTTCTCCCCGGTGTGTCGTCGCATGTGAACAACCAACATGTACTGCGCCTTGAAGGGCTTCTCTTCCCTGGAGCATTCCTTCCACCGACACACAAATGACTTCTTGTTGGCCTGGATGTGATCCTGATTGATATGCTGAAACAATGTTGCACTAATTAGAACATGTACAGTATTCACAAAATCACACAAAGGACCACTTACCAAACATTGCAACAACAGAAATACAGATGCATGCAACACAGTAACACAATATCCGGTTTGTTTCTGTTTTCTAAACTCTTTGTTCGTTATTTTATATTCTAATAGATATATTTTGAGAACAGTTATTTGTATTTCATTTTCGACAACAAGCCATGTATAACGTGATTCTCAAATCATCCACCCTCATACACTGATGTTGCCACTAATGTGATCTCATTATGATGTGTTGAACTAGATACATCTGATTATCCCTCTAAATCTATTTTTAGCTGATAACCCAACAGAGACTTCCATTTTGTTAATCCATAATATCTTTGCACAGGGTAATAAATATTTTTTTATTTGTTTTCCATATCAGATACAAAATATTTGGAAACCCCAATCTGGTTTTGCTCATATAAGACATTATTCTGCATTAATTAAACCACAGCCAATAAGTCTCCAATAACCACAGTGAGAGCTGTGTGGGTTTACACCGACAGCTGCTGTATCAGAGACAAGTAGGTCATGCAAGTGTTTAAAAACAAATTCAAAGCCTATACATGTATATGCATTATGAGACTGACATATTTACCTGTATGTGAAGCTACACAGACATTGATTGGTAATGAGATAGGCCGAAACATTTACGGATAATGAGCTTCACTATTGATCACTGATATAAATGCTCAAAATCAATCACTGATAGAAACAAGCTTTCAAATGATCCATAAATGAACCACTGATCAGCAGGTACCAATATCAAGAAAAAGCAGAATCTCAATCAATATTGATATCATTATCAAAAGAGTGAAAAAGAGAGAGGAGAGCCAAACACCAAAACCAAATTCAGTAAACTTTTTTTTCATTGATCAAAGCATAATTATTATAACTAATATTTTCTTCATGCTAAATAACATTTCAAAACATCTGATAATGACAAAGACTTAACTATGTGTATATTCAAAATAAAATGAGAACTCATTGCACAATATCAAATGATGCCTCCTGTTACTATCACCTACATAGGTTTTAGTTTACTAGCCAGGGAATCAATAGATTCATGAGGACATACAGGATCATAGTCAACATCAGAGCAAAAATCAAAAGAAATAAAAACAAAAACATGTTCGTAAAGTCCACATTCGTACTATATGCCCCAAAAGAAAGAAAATCCATAAGTGTTTAAGTAACAGGTCACGATGACATATATGTATCAGATAAGGACTCTGAAAGCCCCTGTTAAAGTGGCAATAGATGTGTCATCAGTGCAGAGTTTAAAACATTACAACCAAGCAGATTTTGAGATATCGACTTATATCGAGTTAACGAGGCTATGACATATATTTACCTGAGCCGCAGGTAAGTAAAACAATATTAATATTGAAGAAACAAGACACAATACACAGAAACATGCAGAGGAGGAACATCAAGGCTAAATCTTACCCAGCACTCCGCTGCTGCGTTGAGTACACAAAGATTACTGAATTATACTTAATTACAATACTGTTGCATTTGTTGTACTTTGTGTAATGCATCACGTACCATCTGGCGCAGGCCACTGTATTTCATGTTATCAATATGCAGGCCACATAAAACACAACAATTCACACTCTACAACACCGCCATGGGAATATTTGATTGGCAATGTTGTACAAAATGCTTGCTGTGTTTTATAAGTCTAAAGGAGACAGTACAGTACTGGGATCAAATCCTGGCTTATTTTGGAGATATTGGCACATGTCTTTTCTGAATGTCAAGGAGGCAATTTCAAGACCATATCACATACAGAAATCTGTATTTAATAAGAAATAATTTATAATATTTGTCATAAAGTAAAGTTGTATTATTGACATAGTGGATGCCTAAATAAACAGACACACACATACACAAACAAACAGATATATATACTGTGCCAAAATAGTACAGGATAGTGGGAATCATCAAGACATATCTTCTGATCTATGTGGAATTGGTAAATGGAAATGATATGATCATATCTGCTTGGGAGTAGGTGGTTAGATCTAATGGTTGGTGTGATGAGATGGTGGCGCACTAGGTTGTTAAAGAGGTTAGGGGTCAAATTTGCATTTTGCAGCCAACGTCACTGCTAATGGGCAAAAACCACCTCTGTTGGCAAGACATGCACAAATTCTTTGAGGCAGGCTTCTGAAGAGTTGACCAATGTTAGCTTGACCTATGTTGTCATCGGTGAGAGCAACACCGAGTCTCATCAGACCATGACTGATTAACGGCCATGAAGTTGTACATATAGTTACAGTGTAACATTTAGGAGGACTATGACCATATATAAAAAAGTGATTGATTTTACTTGAAATCAGACTGTTTTCTTAATGTTTTTGATATTTGTGTTAAGCAGCATACAGGATTCAGGAGTAAGCAAATGAGATTCAGATTGATAAATTAAGAGTATGATTTAATTGAGAGTGGTGGGTGGATTTGGATGTTGACGTACACGTCTGCCAATGACGTTCCAGAATTGTTCAACAGGAGAAAGGTAAGGACTGAGTGCTGGTCATGGCATGCCATGGATTTTCTGCTGTTGGAAGAATTGGGTCACAATCCTGGCATGATGAGCATGTGCATTATCATCTTGAACGATGAAACTTTCCCCAACACGTTGTGCAAATGTACATGACAGCCCATATTTTGTATATTACATATTACAGATAATGACCTTCTACAAGTACTTTATATCAAGATACAGATGTATTCAATTGATGGAAGATATTTGCAGCATTGTATTAACAGGATACGATATCATTAGGACACGACACATGATCATATTACCGGACGAGGCCATCCAGGCAAGTTCCACGTGACACAGACACTGAATTAAGCTGGATATTTACAGATTAATCTACAAGCTATGAGGAATAACAGATTATGTTGACACATTAATTAAATCTATAATTTATTGGGGTTGGTGAAGAACTTCAACATGAATTCCTAAGAAACAGACAGTCCATAATTCCCAACTGAAAACCAGTGTTTTTTTATCCTGCTGACCAGAAATAAGTGAACTGTAAAAAAATAAACCTCATTTAATGTACCATAATCAAAATTTATCTTATAAACTTGAATGAAATATGAATTGCTGCCGACTCTAAACTTGTTTCTCTCCCCATTTCCTCCTACCACCAACATAAGTAGAAATAAGACAGAAAGCCTGGCCTTAAGTGTCAAGTGCAAGTGTCACCTAAATTAATGATAAATCGCTGTAAAACGTAACAGGAACATGTTCACATAATCTTGAGGTCCCCCCAGTTTGCTGATGTCACGCCTAAGAAAGCATGACATATTACACGTAACACAGGGATCAGTGATGTAGTAGGGTGAAGTCCCCCCAGTTTGATGATGTCCCGCCTAAGAAAGCATGACATATTACACGTAACACAGGGATCAGTGATGTAGTAGGGTGAAGTCCCCCCAGTTTGATGATGTCCCGCCTAAGAAAGCATGACATATTACACGTAACACAGGGATCAGTGATGTAGTAGGGTGAAGTCCCCCCAGTTTGATGATGTCCCGCCTAAGAAAGCATGACAAATTACACGTAACACAGGGATCAGTGATGTAGTAGGGTGAAGTCCCCCCAGTTTGATGATGTCCCGCCTAAGAAAGCATGACATATTACACGTAACACAGGGATCAGTGATGTAGTAGGGTGAAGTCCCCCCAGTTTGATGATGTCCCGCCTAAGAAAGCATGACAAATTACACGTAACACAGGGATCAGTGATGTAGTAGGGTGAAGTCCCCCCAGTTTGATGATGTCCCGCCTAAGAAAGCATGACATATTACACGTAACACAGGGATCAGTGATGTAGTAGGGTGAAGTCCCCCCAGTTTGATGATGTCCCGCCTAAGAAAGCATGACATATTACACGTAACACAGGGATCAGTGATGTAGTAGGGTAAACAAACTTTTTGTTCAAAGATCGATTTTTGTGTGGACAAGTAAGGATTAGTCAGACACAACTTTGAATTTTTTTTAATGTAGGCATAAATATTAGGTTGTTTTTTTCAATATTAGGTTGTACATGTTTTATAGCTAAATCGAGCCCTGGACAGTGTGTTCACATCACATCACATTACCATGGGCACCTTTGCAAACAATGTAAACATTGTAACAATTAGCACAATGAAGTCAATCATAATGAACAAAGTGATGATGACCGTGACTATTTCACGTATATCCCTTGGGTGGCAGGGGACCCCGATCTATTTCCTGTGTAGAGGAGGATGACAGAGCTGATGTGGACAGGGTACACTACATCCTTGTGAATATCACAAGACACATACCTTAACAAGTTCATCCTGAGTTTCAAATTCCCGAGAACAATCTACCCAGTGGCAGTGTGTCTCGATAAAATCTGGTTCCCCTTCTTGAGGTATGTGTCCATCTTTGTGCAGGCCTTCCCGACGGTCGTCTTCTTCATCGCAAATATCCTCTGAAATCCCAATGAAAACATGTTTATAGATAAAATGTTTTTCCAATTTCTACTTATATCAGCGAGCTTCTTGAAGAGTATGTGCCTGGGAGATCTCTCAGATCAAGCTGCCAGTCCCTACTCTCTGTGCCTAGTGTTAGAACGGCGACTTTTGGAGGTCGGAGTTTTGAGCTATAGATCAGGCTGCTATTGGATATTAGGAACATTGACAGTCCTATTTTGTTCCGATCAAGACTCAAAACCTATCTTTTCACCAAATCTTTCTTGGAGTATTGAGGCTTTTTGTTTTCCTGTGTAATGTCTCTTTTTTGTGTAGACTCAAATGAAGCGCTTTTGAGCAGTTCTTCGAACTGGATACCAGTGCTATATAAATCTGTAGTTATTATTATTATTACTGTATGGCCTACTGTATCTGACGACCCTTCTTCTCATCACTTGCACCATGGTCTCCGAAGGGGACTCCGATGCAATATTGGTGGTCATAAAAGGTGATGTGAAGTGAAATGGGGTTTAATATTGCATTCAAGATCTTTGCACTTATACTGCAATGTACACATGTTTGTGGCTGCTAGTACAAGTCCGGACTAATGCCAGTTTAGAGTACTATCTCACTGAGATACCATGCTTCAGTTTGACATGGCTATCCCACTCAGACACAATATACTGACACTAAGCCTTCAGCTTTATCCAACGAATCCCATCTTTTAATGGCTTTTGGTAAGACATGGCCAGGGACTGAACCATTAACAGTCCAATTTCTGGGCAAATGCCATCTTCCCAAGGCAAGGGAGATAACTTATCATAAAAGACCAGTTTCCACTCTTGCTGAAATAAGCTGGAATTATCAAGTTACATTTTGGCTGGACTACTGAGTCTATGTATAGTCAAACCAATATCACATAACAAAATGCAGACTTTGGACAATTGCTGAATTTGCAGAACACGTGTACCATCAACTGGTCTTGGACAGATATTTTCATGCTTTTAATCAAGGTGTTCAAGTGGTTTGAGGTAAGAACCGTTTTATTACAATAAATATCTTGATTATCAATCAGATTGTTTTGACTAGTGCCGCCATTTTGTTTGAAGCAAATGCAAGTGATATGAGAGGTGGAATCTGATTGGTCGTAGAAGGAATGTAACTAGTAATAGCCACTGGTGGTGCTACGATTGAGCCACGAAATATTCCAACCTAGTTCGGCAAGGGTGGAAACTGGTCTTTCATAGTCAGTTAAGTCTCTTGCCCTGGGAAGATGGGCACATGCTTGATCCGACACACCACGGAGACGGTCCATCATAAAGACTTGGGTGGTCATCAAGTTGCTGAGAATGACTAATGGATCGGGTCGCCAGGCTCCGTTGACTTGGAGGATTGCATGTCATCAAATGTAATGATTGATGCTCATGATATCAATCACAGGATTGTCTGGCCAGGATTCAATTATTTTCAGATCGCCATCACATAGCTGTATTATTTTTCCTCTACAATAGTTTTTGTACTCAAATTGAAAACTACAGCGGGTACCTCCTGCTTTATCTTAGCTGGAGTGTGTTTTCAACACCTCTCTCTCCCAGCCTGGTTGATTCTTACCATGGTATTCCACCTCCTTCTTTATCTTCGACTTGCGGGCCTCGGAGGACGGATCCATGGTGCTGCTGACAACGCTGCTGCCGGCATCGCGAGCTGCCGTTGTCGAGATCTGAGACTGTCAACAAACAATACTTTGTTACACATTCCTCCCAACCACATCTCACTACTTCACAGAACATTACACATATACAACTTCAAAGACATTAAACAACACCCGATTTGTTCCTGAGTATTGATAAATCGGTCATGGCTGGTGGTTATTGCAACACACAGCCTTCTAATTGTTGGTGTTCTTTAGTTTGTTTCTTTTCTGTTTAACGCGACACTCAGCAATATTCCAGCTTTATGACGGCAGTCTGTAAATAATCAAGTCTGGACCAGACAATCCAGTGATTGACATAACGAGCATCGATCCATGCGAGTGGAAAACGATGACATGCATCAACAAGTCAGCGGGCCTGACCACCTGATACCGATAGTTGCCTCTTACAACAAGCATTGTCACCTCTTACGTCAAGCATGGGTTGCCGAAAACCTTTTTTATGCTAGATCTTCATGGGTCTTATTTTCTTTAACTTGTTTTAAGTAGTATATATATTCAGTGCATAGCAGGAAAACTTGGTACTATCCGAGAAAAAAAATTGCCATATAATCTGATCAACTCATTTGATTACTGTTCCTGAAAACATCCTATCAGCGTGGGTGCAACATCCTTGATTCTTGCTCATGTTATCAATCACTGTTATCAAGACTTACAATGGCTGTAGTGACTTGGCTGACAGCAGGATAAGCCGACCGCAGACATCACACCTAAGGCACGCAGGTGTACACTATATACTGACCATCAGACACAATGTATACATTACTATTGAAGTATTCTATTTACCTGTGGGTCAAACTTGGATGGTGGTATGAGAGACTGTGATGATGGAGGGAGGATGGTGTGTCCATGAGGGGGGACCCGCCCCACCATGGGGGGCATCACTGAGGGGTAGAAGAAGGGGGAGCCAGGGAGACTCCCATGACGGAGATATGGATTTTGTGGTATTGTTTGGTGTGCAGGGCTGGCTGCCCCTAGGGAGGCTGGAACACAGAAACATAAGACTCTCATAATCCACAGAAAAAAGACAAAACAATTGTTGAATTGTGGGCACTGGCCCATATCCCTGAAAGTGAGTGAGTGAGGTTTTACGCCACTTTTAGCAATATTCCAGCAATATCACGGCGGGTACACCACAAATGGGCTTCACACATTGTACCCATGTTGGGAATCGAACCCGGGTCTTCGGCGTGACAAGGGAACGCTTTCATCACTAGGCTACCCGACCGCCCCTCCATATACCTGAGAACAAAATGTACACAACATGTACAATGATACTACACAACATTCAACTTGGGTTTATTTTACAGCGTGCTTCCTGTTGGCAGGGCATACACAAGCCTTATCATTGTAGAGGAGTGTTATTGTCAGTGTTTAACAGGGAGCAGATTCCAGTGTTACATCATGGACATACACACAGGAACTCATCATTCCATGCCATGTTCCTTCCCTATTTTTCAGCTACCAACAGATTTGCAAGATACTTAACAAATACTGAACAATATTTTCTTTGAGTTATACAAATATTTCTTAGGTTCCAAAGACTGATTCTTTGTACATAGAAAATCTGGAACTATTTCTAACTCTGAAAAGGTTAAGAACAAGTTATTATTGATGTCAGCTTCCTATTTGGGGACTGGCACACAAAAAACAATTAGTCATCCAACAACTTCTTTGTACTTCTATGTACCATGGACACTTAATACGATATTTAGGGTCCACGTAGGTACCTATTTTTTCTCAGAGAACATCAATATTCTTTATAAGCACCTCGCTGATATATCAACACAAAAAGATATGGCATATATTTATTAATATCTGGTATTTCACCCAAAATAATCTGCCTGTTGGCTGTATGAGTTTATGCATGAAAAGGGAGGTCTAACCGGCCCATCTGTACGTCTCATTCTTTCCAGATACCTACTGTACCAGTTTCATGGCCTGTGTCAAAAAGTGCATTACCTGCAATAGCATAAAGCTAAATACAAGGTACCACAAATGTTACAATCATTATTTTCGTTTGATTCCAATGAATTAATTCTATCCCTAATTAAAGTGATTTGAATACTAAACACAGGCAATATTTTGCGTATTTCCCTACCTGCAGAGAGATGGCCATAGGAGCCACTGGCAGCACTAGAACTCCGTGAGTTGTGATGCAGGAAGGGCGTCAGTTGGAGGGACCCCTCTGAACTTCGCGTTAAACTTTGAATGTCCAGATAGTCGGAGATCGGGGATTGCGATAAAGCTCTTTTCCGATTTCTTCCCCCACCAATACTAGGCCGTGGACTCGTTAGACGAGAACCTGGAAAGATGGAAGATTTTTTTAAGGCAATTTCATCATGTTAAAAACACAAAGAAAGTGTTAATACTGGATTGAAATCAAACAAGATAGAACGATTTCTCTTGGTAAAAATCTTAATGCCATGTTTATCTTCATGTCCAAATTAATACATTTGACACAGTAGGTTTAGACATACCAAACATGCAATTTAGTAATTTAGTAAAGAGATATTCATGTTTTCAAAATAATAATTGCAAACTTTGAAAACAAATTCATCAATCCTTGATTAAGAGCTTACATTAGTGTGACATATTTGACAAACTATAGATAGCAATGAACTTTTCAGTGTGAAGAATTCACAAAAATGCTTTGAGTTGAGAAGATCATTATAGTCTTGAAGATAGAGGACCATTTTGAGGGGGTGGAACTCACTCTCTAGAGAGCCTGGCAGTGTGATGCTGCCACTCCCTGGTGTTGGGGGGATCTCCGAGAATATACTCCGCTGGCTGAATGATGGCGGTGGGTAGTCACTGAAGGACCCCGAGCCGGGTAGAGGTAGACCTGCAAAAACAGAATACATCTGTGTCAAAATATCATCCCTTTGACAATGTGTAGGGGCAATTGGTGCCTAATTGACTCACTCACTCTCTCTCCTCGTAGAATAGCCATAGCTAGTTGATGATAAGGCATCATGCAATCCTTGACAAGCACAATCACTCTCTCACCTAGTAGACTAAATAAATAGCTAATGCCCATTGGGTGTCAAGCAATACTTGACTCACTCACTCACTCTCTCACCTAGTAAATAGCTAATGCCCATTGGATGTCAAGCAATACTTGACTCACTCACTCACTCTCTCACCTAGTAAATAGCTAATGCCCATTGGGTGTCAAGCAACACTTGACTCACTCACTCACTCACTCACTCTCTCACCTAGTAAATAGCTAATGCCCATTGGATGTCAAGCAATACTTGACTCACTCACTCACTCACTCTCTCACCTAGTAAATAGCTAATGCCCATTGGATGTCAAGCAATACTTGACTCACTCACTCACTCACTCACTCTCTCACCTAGTAAATAGCTAATGCCCATTGGATGTCAAGCAATACTTGACTCACTCACTCACTCTCTCACCTAGTAAATAGCTAATGCCCATTGGGTGTCAAGCAATATTTGACTCACTCTCTCACCTAGTAGACTAAATAAATAGCTAATGCCCATTGGGTGTCAAGCAATACTTGACTCACTCACTCACTCTCTCACCTAGTAAATAGCTAATGCCCATTGGGTGTCAAGCAATATTTGACTCACTCACTCTCTCGCCTTGTAAATAGCTAATGCCCATTGGGTGTCAAGCAACACTTGACTCACTCACTGACTCACCAGGTAGACTAGCTGGGCTGAATCTTCGGCCTGAGAAAGGACTCTGGTAAAAGTTGCGTTGAAGCTGTTCCCAGTGTATACGAGACGCCAGGTGAGTGACTGTTTCCCCGCTCATAAGGTGACTTCGCATACTAAGCAATGAAATATCTGATTGGGCGGGACTGGCCGCTTGCAACCTGCAAAGGGATAGAACCACAAATTTACAAAATCCACATCAACTAAGTTCACCTAGGACACAATTTACTGTATGTTTTTAACATCCAATCTTCTTATCTTATCTTAATTCATTTCCAAGGAATAGTCCAAACAAATACAACTGCATTTAAACACTCATCCTGCTTGACAATGTTGGCCAAGATGGCAGCTCAATCAAACTCCAAATCTGTTCTGAAGTAAAAATAATTTGGCTGAAAAGCATTTAAGGAGAAATAAGTATATTTTATCCAGCCACTTTTAGACTAATGTTCCAAACACTTCTTCAGCTGCATTTACAATTACATTACATTTCTGATGGCCTCTTCGCGACTATTTCTGTCAAGAACCACAGATTGAACAGAAATACAGATGACGACCCACACTCACATCAGTTCCCAATAAATGAGGGTTAGTAAATTCAACCCAAACTCCAATATATCTGAACTATGCTTGAACCGATCGTCAATACACTTATGTTACACCTATATTTTTCATTGCCACAATGTTTTCACAATTAAGGAACCAGATTTTCTGAAGTGAATAGGGCTGTTTTGTCGAATTATGGAAATCTTTTACATCAAAGGATTCAATGATAAATGCTTTATAAGTATATGTTCCCAAAATTGGAAGAGAGGCACTAGAGAGATAATCTTGTGTACAACCAACAACGTTATCTAGTTGTCAAAGGCCTCTTTCTCTGGTGGCCTGGTGGGGACTCTAGGTTTGGACTGGTCCACATCAACCTATCATTGTTCATACAGAGAAGAACATTAAAATTCAAGTCCTTTTCCAGGCTTTCAGCTGTCATTTTCAAGGCTTTTTTAGTTGGGTTTATTAGCCTTAGTCTGTTACAGATTCTTCTACAATCCAGCACAATATATATTAGTCGTAAGACCTAAAAAGCAGTATGAACATCCCAAATCTTTCAATAAAATATATTTTCACAACCAACAATTAAAATAAATTATGTCTGTCATGAATTTCAATACTTTTATAAGTATATGTTATTTTGAAAATATTCTATTTTGGCGTTTTTCAAGTCTTTTCAAGGTTGACTTTAATAGTCAAGGCCTTTTAAGCCAGTATGAACCTTGCCTACTTTGTTGCAAATGACAACTCAAAGGTAGATAACCACAAGTTTCCAAAAATCTACATCAACTAAATTCTCTAGGACACAAATTACTGTATGTTTTTAACATGCAATCTTCTTATCTTATCTTAATTTATTTCCAAGCAATATTCCAGTATGAACCTTGGCTACGCTTGTCGCAAGAGGCGACTCAGTGGCTCGGTGACTTCACTGCCAGCATGTCACCGTACCCTGACAGTGCAAAGCATTGCTCATAATATCAATCACTGGATTGTCTGATTCAGACATGATTATTTGCCAGCGATCATCGTACAGTTGTAATATTGCTAAAGGGGCTTTCAACAAGAAACCAACAAAGCCTTACCCTGGAACAGGCTGGTGGTAGGGACTTGCGGGAGGCCAGTGGTACCTGCCTTCCAATGTGGAGACGTTGATGGGGAGGGGTGCATTTATAGGGTATGGCACATGACTGTAGTGATATCCTGAAATAACAAGTAAACCATTAGTGTCTGGAAGGTCTCCAAATATATATACGTAAAAAACAAACCAATTAATTAAATACAGATATGACTTGGAAAGATTGTATTATCTGAATAACTGTACCTGATGTGCCAAATAGGGGCAAGCAGTATTTCAAGAAAACAGTACCTGACTCAAATGCTTATCAGTGAGTGAGATGGGTTTAATGCTACTTTAAACAGTATTCCAGTTATATCACAGGGTGTCAGGTTGATGTGGGAGGAAAGTAATGCAGGTCTCAGATGTTTACTACTTTGGTGAAACCCAATGAATATGGTGCTGACACACCTAGAAATATAATCAGGGTGAATCTGGGATTCAAACCAAGACCATAGGTTTGTGGCACGCCTTAAGTACCTATCATGCCTTAGACTCCCAGTGAAGATCTGGGGAAGAATAGATCTTCAGCAACCCATGCTTGCCGTAAAAGGCGACCATGCTTGTCATAAGAGGCGACTAACGGGATCAAGTGGTCAGACTAGCAGACTTGGTTGATGCATGGTAGGGATCCCAATTGCATGGTTCGATGCTCATGATATCAATCACTGGATTGTCTGGTCCAGACTCGATTATTTACAGACCGCCGTCATATAGCTGGAATATTGCTGAGTGCGGAGTTAAACAACAAACACACCAAACCAAACATGCCGTAGACAACTGACCACCCATGCCTTCACATTACTTTTGAAGTAATAAGAGAGTTTCACATAATTCATCTTCTTGAGTCAAGGGAGATAACTGACTATAAAAGTCCAATTTCCACCCTTGTCGAACTAGGCTGGAATTATGGACTTATATTTTGGCTGAACTAACGAGTCTATGCATAGTCCCTTCAAAATTACATAACGCAATCAACATCTGGTTTGGAACCTGCCGTGCAGATTTTGGTCGATTGCAGGATTTGCAAAGCATGTGTACCGCCAAGTCGGCATCAACAGATATTTCCCAAATCTTTTATGTTTTTAATCAATGTGCTCACGTGATTTGATCAACTTTGCGAAGTAAGACCCATCTTATCACTAAATAGATTTTGATTATCAGTCAGATTGTCTTGACTGGGCGCTGCCATTTGGTTTGAAGCAAATGCAAGTGATACGAGAGGTGGAATCTGACTGGTCAGTAAGAGGAACATAGAAGGGACATATATCGTAATAGCCACTGGTGGCACTACGATCTGACCCAGAATTACCAGCCTAGTTGCGCCCTGGCACTAAGACAATTGTAACCCCATGCCTTAACAGAAGTACGACAGTCGTAGCGCTGAGACGAAATTGTAACCCTATGCTTTAACACAGACTTACGACAGTCGTAGTGCTGATCGCTTTGTGGAACAACCCCCTGGATTGTACCCACACAGGTGGACACCGTAACAAAGTAACTGGTGAGCCAAACCCACTCACTAACACCAGGTCTAGGATGAGTTCAAATGTCCTTCCCCAATACCGACTTCTTATTACCTGACCCCACCTGTACCTGCTGTACAACAAACAGCCTTCAAAATTACATTCTTCGCATACATTATTCACATTTGGATCATAAATAAATACCATATTTTCTCGTTTATAATGCGCACATTTTTATTCAAGGAACTACCGCTGTGTAGAGTGGGTGTAACCATGAAAATCCTTTTAATGTTACAGCCATTATACAATGTCTCACGTGACTAACCATGGGTCCTGTGGGGTGTGAGCCCTACTCCGACCCAGTACCCAAGTTACCCAAGTTACCCAACTCAGCCCTAACACTATATTTAAAATGAAGCATGCGAAAATATAGATGATTATTACATTTGTTCTGAAATCTAAATTGTTGAAGGTGTTACTTGCAAGAGTAAGAGAAGTGGTGTTGGCTAAAGACGAAACTAGATGGATAAGAAAATACTGTTCAGAACCTGATTTTCTCAGTTTAACAATTTCAACTGATTAAACTGCACCCAAATAACACTTTAATGTGTAGTAATGTATTCGTAAACACAAATACCTCAAGCCTCCATTTAATACTCTAATAGTTTCATCATTTGCAAAATAATCCTCTCTTATACACCGGCAGTAAAGGCACATCAACAATGAGTGTGTGTTGAGTAAACTGTTTATACACCTAGGGCATTATGAGACCGAGGAATGAGGTAAAGCCTAAATCAGCCATTGTTAGCAGCAGATCTGAGACCCTTGCACCATGTAACTGGGGGCATATTGTCAGTCATAACAAGGATTTTCCTGGTCTCAGGAAACTGCAGGGAAAACAGGCACTTATCATCACATTGTTAGGGGATAATAACAATATCAAAATGTAGTGTTCACCAGAGGCCGTTGGGAATTTTTTTTGTGACTTGGTGTTAACGGAATTATATCAGTGTTTCAGCAACATGTCAGGGCCGTTATCAGCACCGTGTCAGTACAGTTAACAACTAGGTCATTAAGATACATTGTGTACCAATACAAAATGCAAACGTCATGCACTGAGAACCCATGTAGAACCTAATTCATGAGGTACTTGTAAAAAATCCATGTCAGCATTATTTGAAATAAAAAAAGAAGTTTTATTCCGTGTCTGGCTTATGAAAGAATTGCAAAGTGAATTATTTAGATTCAAATTACATAGGCTATTAGGCATACTTGAACATATTTTCAAGATAATATTCTTGCTTTAGGCAGGAGCAGGTGCTGACAACAGACAGGAGGCAGACAGAAGTCAGTCACAGGGAGGGACACAAGGCAGCCACAGATGAACATCACAAAGAGATGGACATTATCATAGAATAATTATAGACAGACAGGCTTATTCCGACATCAGAGACAGGCTTTTTCCAACATCAGAGAGACAGGCTTTTTCCAACATCAGAGAGACAGGCTTATTCCAACATCAGAGAGATAGGCTTTTTCCAACATCAGAGAGACAGGCTTATTCCAACATCAGAGAGAGATAATCGCGGATAGACAGGCTTATTCCAACATTAGAGGAACAGGCTTATTCCAACATCAGAGAGACAGGCTTTTTCCAACATAAGAGAGATAGGCCCTTTCCAACAGAGAGACAGACTTTTTCCAACATTGAGAGACAGGCTTATTCCAACATCAGAGAGACTGGCTTATTCCAACATCAGAGACAGGGAATCACAGATAGACAGGCTTATTCCAACATCAGAGAGACAGGCTTATTCCAACATCAGAGAGACAGGCTTATTCCAACATCAGAGACAGGAAATCATGGAGCGAAGGCTTATTCCAACATCAGAGAGACAGGCTTATTCCAACATCAGAGACAGGAAATCATGGAGAGAAGGCTTATTCCAACATCAGAGACAGGGAATCACGGATAGACAGGCTTATTCCAACATCAGAGAGACAGGCTTATTCCAACATCAGAGACAGGAAATCATGGAGAGAAGGCTTATTCCAACATCAGAGACAGGGAATCATGGAGAGAAGGCTTATTAGGCAGATACTAACAAGTAATTACTGAAAGGCTTCACATCGTGATGAAACCTTGCATTTACATGTAAAGATCTGGAACATTCCCATCCTGCCAGCCTCTTAATATGTTATAAACACAGACAGCGAGGACCATTATTTATACTGTTGGCATTTGTAATATTAGTTCTTCCAGGACCAAGTTACTCTAAACATACGAGCAGACATCGCATAAGTTTACAAATAGCATGTAGCAGTTGACATTTGCGACTGGTGAGAGAGAACGTTTCTCCCTGAATGGACATTGGACACATTGCTGGGTTTACAAAGAACAGTTCTCTTCACATGTTGTATCTGAAAGTCTGACACCCAGCAGTCAGACCATAGCACAAGGCATAGAAGTGTGCCTCACCTACATCATTCTCATTTCAAAGTACTTTGCTATATGATGCAAGGGAGAGGCTCTTTCACAAGAGTAAGCCTTCAGACGTACTGATTTTGTACAAAGGGATGGTAATTAGCCCAGTAGGTAAAGCTGTCTGCCACACAGGTTCTGGTTTGACTCCCAATGTTGTCATGACATGTGAAGCCTGTTCTTGTTCACCCTGCCATAGCATCCCTGCCATTATGTAACTGTTTTTTCATTTTCAACTAACAAACAATGTTAGCACTACGTGTGAGGACCAATTCTGGCATCTTTTTTCACAATGTAGCTCTTAAATTGCTTTAAGCAATGAAAAAATATACTCACTCACTTTGTTTCTTTGTTGTTTAACGCTATACTCAGCAATATTCTAGCTATATGACAGCCTTTCCGCAAATAATCAAATCTGGACCAGACAATCCAGTGATTGACATCATGAGCATCGATCCACGCAATTGGGATACAATGACATGCATCAACCAAGTCTGCGATCCTGACCACCCGATCCTGTTAGTCGCCTCTTACGACAAGCATTGTAGCCTTTTACGGCAAGCATGACATAATATCTGACCATTACACCTACCATAGGGTGAATCAACTAGTCCATTCCGAGGATCCACATAAGGTGGTAATGCTCCAATGTAGGACGGTATCCGGGGTTCTAGATGGGGAGGAGGCAGGGGTGTGGGTCCTACACCACGGTCGACAGTTTCAACCGATTGTGACTTGGCCCTACTGGGGTCAGAGGTTGTCGGCTCCTCATCCACGCGGGTGATGTGACTGCTAGGGGGACGACTCACCCCGGTACCTCGGCGAATTTTCTGTGAATTTTCTGCAAATACAAAAGAAAGTTTGACAAATTCCATAAATGATGATTCATATTCGACCTGAAATGTCCAGTAGTCTACTGATTAAAACAGTCGTTCCTTTACACCTAAGACTTGTGTTTAATTGCGAACACTGGCACAATATGGGAAGCCAAGTCTTGGTGTTGATGTTCTCGAACAAGACATTGCTGGAACATTTCTAAAAGTGGAAAGAAAGCTCTACTCACTTGAAATAGACTTAATAAATTTAATGACATGAAAACTCAATTATCATCTTTTTTTCAGATTTATTCCCATTAGGGACACAAACAATGTACCCTAGATGCAGTAGATGAAATACAGTAAACTATGTTTATAAGGAACACACTTAAAACGAACTGACCGATAAAACAAACTTAAATTTTAGTCCTCGATATATGCTGTATATATGCTTATAACGAACTACGGCAATTATGAACTGAAATTAGTCGTCCCTTTGAGTTCGTTATGACTGTAGTTTACTGTAGATGCAAAATGGGATTGGAGTCCTTCCTCTCCAGTGAGTGGTCCTTCACACAGTTCAGTTTCTAAACTACAGCATGGACAATAGATTGCAGTCAAAACATCATGATCGTAAACAGCATAATAGTGATGAAAATTATATGAATGGACCCCTGAAAATCAGTGATGACACCAGGTGTTCGTGAAATCAGTAAGCATGCCCCTACCCATTGGCAGCACCCGCCACCCACACAACCTGCACAAAAAGGTATGTGTCTGCTGCCACACCAGTGACAGAAATTAACATTTTTAGTCCACTAGTCCTTATACCGATAACATATAGCAAACACTGTAACACTGTACAGGTGTAAAACAATCTTCCATATCTACCTGTACGTCTCCACCTGGAGAAGGGAATCCTACCTGCCACGGGAAATCAGATCAAATGAGCATCCTACATATCGGAAATACTTTACCCCTTGGAATTCCAGCTCATCTGGTCCAGTGCATTTCACATCATGCATTTTATTGAAATTCTTTATTTACCGATATCAAACTGAATCAAATATTTTTCCGGCCTGGTTGACAGAGCTCAAGTCATCCAACAATAAGAAAGGGAATGGACGACAATTTGAGTCATGGACACAGGAGGGGCCCCATCACTACACCTGGATATACTTAATATGCTCATAAACCCTTACAGGCCCCAACAATGCTTACCTGCATGCAGCTAAAAATCCAATCAGCAGGTAACAATATGTATGGGTGTGTCCAATAGTTATGGTATTCATACTGCTTATTTTTAGCAGATACATTGAAAAAACATTTTCAGATTACAATTGTTGTTGATGAGCTACGGGTTTTCAGAGTTGTTCCTGTGTTGTATAACATGTAGAGGAAGAATGGATTTGAAAGTTATGAATAAACCTCCACATATCGTGCATCTAAAAACACAGTTGCAGGTGCTCATGCACAGGGCTGGTCTTATTCAAACTTCCATTCAGAGACAGTTTTATGCATAAGCGGAAAATGAACCATTCAAGATGTTTTATAAATCATGCATGGTTTAAAGGTAAAGACCTCTATTGTTGATGATGCAGTAATTTCAGAAAATCTGTGATATAACCTTGGACACAAATTATTTACATATATAACATTTCAAAAACAAAGTTTAATAATAATCAACAAGTGTGTGTTCATTAACTGGAATTTCAAAATCTTCTCAATTTCAGTTCATGTAAAGAAATACAGATCTGAGGGAAACAAAAAAATGCTTGTATATACATTCATCTTGAATAGAGAAAGTTAACGTATTGTTCCTTCTTTGATGTAGGTAGACTTAACCTTCGACTGCGACCTTGCTACCCTGCTCAATCTGCAGTAGACACACAATGCAGCCAGGCCATACTGAGTATCTAGCTCCTTTAAATACGCGAAGAAATGCGGTATCTGCAGTAGAACCAATTGATCTGAGACAATCTGTGTTGTGTTAATAAACAATAACAGCAATAATAGTTCTACTGTATGTGTGTATGTATGTACGTCTGCATTTCTGTCTGTCTGTATGTATGTACAGTAAACTACGGTTATAACGAACTCAAAGGGACCACTAATTTTAGTTCGTTATAACCGTAGTTCTTGATAAGCATATTTACAGCATATATATAGCAAATGCCCGGGACAAAAAAACACAATATGCTATATCCGTCAGTTCGTTATAAGGGTGTTTGTTATATACATAGTTTACTGTATGTCTGTCTGTCTCTCTGTGTCCGTCTGTCTGTGTCTGTCTGTCTGTATGTATGTATGGATGGATGGAAAGATGGCTGCAAGGATGGTAGGCCTTAAGGATGGATGAACAATAAACGGATGGATGAATCTTTTGCATTCCATCTCGAAAGAAACAAATAGTGACATCAATTCAGGCATTACAGATGAATGTGCCCCGCACACCTGACTCTAGCTGAATGTGTTCCTCACACCTGATTACACCCCACCCTGAACACACATACCACAACCCCTGCCCTGCCCCTCCCCTTCAGCTCGTCTTTCAAGCACGAAATTTAATGGCTGAAAATTACCCCTTTTGAAAAGTTAATGATCAAGACATTTTAAGCATGAAAACAGTTGTTGACTTGGTATTGATATTAATACACTGCTGTAATGAGAATCGGATATGGATACCCCAACCAGCCACACTTGTTGGTTGTACAAGTATTGTCTTAACAAGGTGTTATGTTAATCACAAGGATCAGCCCTAAGTAATAGGCATGTCTGGGCTGAAATTTGGGTCTTGGGTCTTGACCTTTTTATCCTGATGAGTGGGAAACATCCCTGACCTACCACATAGCTGGGTCTAGTTCACTCCCACTCCGCCATGATGGGGATGTGACAAGGGGGAAATCACTGGTTGTGTGAGTTAAATGACCGACCTCCGACACAGTAACTGCTTCTTATTGTGCCGAAGTATTGTCAGGGGTTGAAGAAACCTTGGAGGCCTCGGCTGCCTGGTCAACTTTCCATGACTAGTAACTTGACACCCTGGATTGTGCACGGACATCCTCAGTATTGTTCCCAGAATTCCAGAGTATTGTCTGACAAACAGTGACATACCATCGCCCTGTCGGAGGACTCGGAACCCAGGGCTAGTTTACACCCGGACAGATTAGCACCCCCTTGCTGAGAAATCACCTCGGCCTTTTCACGGTGGAGACAATTCAAGTCTCCACCGACACCAAATTACTCTAATTTGAACCATGTTGAGAACCCAGGCAAACATGTAACCCTTTGTATACAAACTTGAGTGAACATGGTAAGACTCAGAAATGACTGGGCCTGTCCTTTCATGAAGATGATGACCAATTTGGAGATTACCGTAGCCAGCAAACAGTTGTAAAACTGACAATAAAATACATGTGCTTGTTGAAACTTGGTGGACCGCAGTATATAGAATGACATGAAAAACCTTATCTGATGAAAGGGCAGTATTGTCATAAACCTGCTGCACACCCTTTTAATATACTTATAAATGAAATGAAAATGAATAATAAGTATGAATTTATACGTGTCATATATAGCAAAATAACATTTAAGAATTTGAACATAAAAACAACCTGATCATCAACAAATAACATCACCATTTTAAAAACTTTATGAAATTTAACCTCAATCTTTCAACCAATAACATCACCATTTGAAAAACATTATGAAATTTAACCTCAATCTTTCAACCAATAACATCCCCATTTGAAAAACAATATGAAATTTAACCTCAATCTTTCAACCAATATCATCCCCATTTGAAAAACAATATGAACTGTTACTTCAAGCTTTCAACCAATAACTTGCCCATTTGAAAAACAATATGAACTGTTACCTCAATCTTTCAACCAATAACATCCCAATTTGAAAAAACCCAATATGAACTGTTACTTCAAGCTTTCAACCAATAACATCCCCATTTGAAAAACAATATGAACTGTTACTTCAAGCTTTCAATCAATAACATCCCCATTTGAAAAACAATATGAACTGTTACCTCAATCTTTCAACCAATAACATCCCCAATTTGAAAAAAACAATATGAACTGTTTCTTCAAGCTTTCAACCAATAACATCCCCATTTGAAAAACAATATGAACTGTTACTTAAAGCTTTCAACCAATAACATCCCCAATTGAAAACAATATGAAATTTAACCTCAATCTTTCAACCAATAACATCCCATTTGAAAAACAATATGAAATTTAACCTCAATCTTTCAACCAATAACATCCCCATTTGAAATACAATATGAACTGTTACCTCAATCTTTCAAGCAACAAGCTCAGTCAGTTAGTTCAAACTATCAACTAAACCAAGAAACTAAGTACAACCCTTTTCAACATAAAATCTAATCGTGTTTTCCATCATGTAAACTACAGCCTCCTCCCCGGACTCCGCCAGCCCTCCCAGCCGCTTGTAACATTCTGGCCCTGTGTACTGTTCCTGGAAGGAAGACCCCATGTGAACACATGTCCTGCCATGTAGACTCCACCCTTTCTGTAGACTCGGCTACCTGGCATTTGCCTTGTTCTAGCACAGGCCCGGGACATGGCCCAGACGACATGTTCTTCCATACTTCCATGTACGGTAGAGTCTACATGAAGGAGCAGCAAGCAAATGTCATCTATTTTGCAGCTTTTTGAGGGGTAGAAGTGAAGGATTTGTGTTAATTACGAATCTGTATGCTTTCTGTTGAACTGCTGTGTTGTCATGTATTGGTAGTTATGAAAAAGGTCGGCAAGAGTGAGTGAATATGGTTTTATGCTGTTTTTAGCAATATTTCAGCAATATCAGAGCAGGGAACGCCAGAAATGGGCTTCACATATTGTACACATGTTGGGACGCGAACCCATGTTTTCAGTGTGACTAGCGAAGGCTTACCCACATGGCTACCAAGCCACCCCTTACCCTCTTTATTTCCAGACCAGGTGCTTATACATGTAAGTGACAAAACCCTACCAATAATCCGAAGAAATCTCTG